ACATCGAACCACACATGTGGAAAGCGGCTGAACCGAACAACGGTTGCACAGAACTGGAAAGGGATCCATCGGAAGAGAATCGTTTCCCACAGTCTCCTACTTGTCAGTGGTTGTCAAAACCGTTTTGGGATCCCATTTTGTTTGGGATTGGTGAATTCACCACCCATTTTAGAACCTATTTTAGTGGTTGGAGTGGTTGATGTTCACTGGGGCCGCGATTTGGGTTTTGACCCATGGCCACATGGCGTGAGACGAGTGCTGGGGTTCAAGGGAAAGGGAAACCGAGAACTTGCTGCGGGAATGAGCAATGGAATGAACCGTTTTGGGATTCCCGTAAAAAGGAAACCATAGAATGATTTGTAGAGGTCATTCCATTTCTCAGTCTCTGCCTAGAGCACCAGCTAGATTGAGGGTTGGGAGGAATTGGGGAGCAGTGGGGCAGGGGATGGAGTGGAAGTTGGAGGGAGGTGAAAGAAATGGAGAGGTTAGAAAGGGTTACTATAGGAATCTTCGGACATCCCATTGGCTCCATCTTTTCGAGAAAGCGCTCTGGCAACTACTGGCACCTGGCAACTTGCTCGCGCACTCGAACTCTACAATCTGCCCGGCCTTCTTGCTGCTCAAGTCAATGGAGACCATCACTTTGTTCGCTGCAGCCATCTCAATCATGAGGTCAAAGAACAAGTCCCATTCTGTGGCGAACATGATATCCTCGCATGGCAAATCCCTCCATCCTCACCCTTCAGAGTCATAAAAGACCGCTTCCTGGGTGTGTGTTCTTGAGGGTACCTTGTTTTGGATGCTTCTTTGAATTCCTGCAACCCTGCGCGTCGTATCTTTTGGGCTTTCCTATTTGGATATGCATTTGAGGTCTTTCACCTGCGCTGCATGCACGCACGCGTGCTCCTCCGGCCGCGGCAATCCCAAGATCCTCTTCTCGCGAAGATATCCTTGGCCGATGTTTCAAGGCTTGCCCAGCTCGGAGGCTTGGAAACATTGGAGCCATCTGCCTGTTAGAAACCTAGAGAACATGGCTTCCAACATATAAACCATGTATGGTAAATGGAGGTAGTATATGAAAACGTGGATGCTACATATATATATATATATATACACGGTCTCGTTGTGTTCTAATTGTGCCTTACTGTTCCTTCAAGCCAGCGTTCATCTTCCCTTTCTCGGACAGCTTCCCTCAGTCCTGTGGCCATGGACAACAAAAGAAGCTACCCCTCTGTGGGTCGTTCAACCCTGCCACCCCTCCAAGCAAGGACAGCGACTTGCCGGTGCTCAGTAGGGAATGGGTATGAACCTTTCTTGATCTCCTGAAAAGAAACCATAGGCTTGGTTTATAGGGCTCATTCCATCTCTCATTCCCTGCCTGCACCAGCAAGGAGCCTCGGAGCCTCTGAGCCCGCGGCGGGTGAAGCAGCGCGCCAAGAAGTAGTCCCGCAAGACCAGCGGCACGAACCTGGCGGTTTTCGGTTCGGATTCACCTTAGCCCAGTGCTTCCAGTAAGGCAGTCAACCACATGTCAGAAGAAGAGATAAAGTATTTAACACCATGACTGGAGAAGCATCAAAACCAAAACGAGTTGGCAAGGAGAAACCAGCATGCAAAACATAGACTTCGGAAAATCGGCTACCTACTATAGCGGGAACTGGAAGCGCTGAGTAAGCCAAAACCCCAACCTTGATTGATTCCACCCCAATATCCTCATTTTTTGCGGGGTGGTAGAGCAAGCGCCTTACCAGGCTGGTGAGCGTAATTGATTCCGCAAAGAGAAGCACGTTTTACTTGCTGGTGCGATAGGTTGAGAATGTGGTTGAATGAACCCAGGCTTTGGTCCCCTTGAACGAAGCCACCAGTTGGATGGTTTATAAGGGTCATTGCATTTCTCATTCCCTGCTCAGCACCAGCAAGTTTCAAAGGGACTTGAAAGGGTCGCAGGCCACCCCGAGAATGGTGGTCAACTTTGATCGCAACTGGCGACCCGTGGACATCATTGGGGATTTATGTCCACCAACCGTTCGCGAGGGTGTGCCAACCTTTAAGAAGGATACCCATCTGGGGGCGACAAAAAGTCGGGCGTGTCCATTTCTAAGGTCTTCCAAGGTTTCCGCAGGTTTCTCTTCATGTTTCCGCAGGTTTGGACTTGGTTCCGCTTCCATCACGTGAAACTTTCAGATCTGAAAGGCGGCAAACGGCGCCGGTTGATTGGCTGCGTTACTCCTTGCCCCCTTCTTACAAAACCCCAACCCGCCTCATATACGACCGGCTGACTTTCTCTTTGTCGAAGGGCCTATAGCGCAGGATGCGGCGAGACTGCGGGATGATCGGGATGAAATAATCTCAGAGGAACCTTAATACATATTATACATATATGTATATGCTAAGCCCCTACGTATATGCTAAGCCCCTACGTATATGCTAAGCCTGCAAAATACTCAAAATCTCATGGTTTGCTGTTATAGCGTCATACTGCCCAATGTGGGTAATTCAAAGTGTGCATATATATATATACCTACCTATAAATATATGCGTATATATATACATATATATATATATATATATGTATATGAGTCTGTGCCGAAATTGAGTGCTCGAATCAAACAGTTTTGATGGGGGGGTATGATTTGCGGGTATAATTTGCGGGTATGATTCGGGGTATGATTCGTAAGCAAGGATTTTCTACCGTAGAAGCAGTAGTAGCAGTAGCAAGAAGTAGTAGTAGTAGCAGCAGCAGTAGTAGTAGTAGTAGCAGAAGTAGTAGCGGTAGTAGTCGTCGTAGTAGCAGCAGTAGTAGTAGTAGTAGTAGAGGTGGCGTTGTCAAGGGGGTATGGTTCGGGGCATGGTTCGGAGGAATGATTCGTGGCATGGTTCGGAGGTATGATTCGTGGTATCGTTCGGGGGTATGATTCGCACAGGTCGAACATCTATCCTTTACTAAACCTTGCACACCTTAAAAAGGCACATGTATATGTATGTAAATGCTAAACACATTTGGGCTTGTGCGGTACGTGAAAGCCAAATTCAGCCATGATAATACGAATGTGTGTTTTTCAGTATTTGTAATAGTTTAGCCAACTTTGATCCTGAAAAGGGTCCTCCGTTATTTTCTTTTTGGCTTCAACATCTGTCAACAGGATCACTCAAAGACCAACTTTGTCAGAGTCCTGGAAGAAGGCTGAGACACAAAGGATGCTCCGGACACCAGGGGCGGACAATAAAACACGGTGATCAATGCACACGTGGGTGTGTCTGGTTTTGAGTTGTGGTTTTAAAGGGAAACCAAAATGAACAACCACCATTTTGGGCACAACAAACATTTCGGGGATCCCCTAAAAAAGGCACACCTGGCGTCTCCATGACCCTCAAGAAATGTTGTCATTACCCAAAATAATGGTTGGTCCTTGACCCATTTGCGAAGGGTCACGCAGACTCCAGGCACCCAGGCACAAATGCCTGCAAGTTCTTGGCGCTTTGAGATATGCTTCAAGCGACGATGCAAGCCACGGGACGGCAGGCAGGGCTCCACCAGCACAAACTGCTTGGATTGGATCAAAGCCCGCACCTCGAGCGAGTGCTTCGGTTGTCCGATGGTTTTGTCTTCGGAACACCGGTTATATACCTGGAGTCTCCATGACCCGAAATAAAAATGGGTCAATGACCCCATTATTTTTGGTAATGATCCCACGGGTCATGGAGACTCCATTTAGTTTCTTTGTTTGCTGTTTTTGGTCATTGCCGCAAATGTTATTTGAAACCTGTGTACTTGGCAAGCATTGTCAGATAGTGCCTACATACACTTTGCTTGAAATGTGAGCATGTGCAAGTAGAGTCTCCCTCGTCCTATGATGTGGTACAATGACTTGCAATGCTTCGGGATTCAATGTTGGCTCGCCCTATGCTATACAAAGCTATGCCCAGGCTTGCAGCTTGTGCTCATGAGTTGCCTGGCCAAACGTTCATTCCCGAAAGCAGCTTCCAGAGAGCCTTGCGAACAAGCGGCGAAGGACCAACTTCCCTCCAGCTCCGCATGCTCCTTGGATGAATAGCACGAGCAAATCAAACAGCAAGCTCCATACAAAACATGTGGCTCAAACTCTGCGGTATCCTGGGTGCTCAATTTTGAGCCACACTCACATCGCGCATCTAGATCTCAGATTTTGCAAAAGTGACGTCTCTTTACGCCGGAAACAGAACTGGCCAAAGCGGTGACCCATAGGGTGACAACTGACAATCTGACACAACAAAAACCGGAGCTCCATCACGCAGCAGTGAAGCCTCTTTAAAGCCAAGAAACACAACATGCTCCACATGCACGCCAAACTATGTTCGTCCTTCGCATTTCCATGGAAACCACCCCAAGAAAAAGTACCCTCAAAAAGAAAGTACACACAGAAATACACACACACACACACACACGGCGCGCAGCATTCGAAACCGAGCCGAGTTGCTGCTTCCACCACTTGGGTCATGGTTTCTGGTAGCAGAAGCTGCGCGGAGTCGATCTGACAGAGGGAAAAAGTAAAGGTTTGCTAAGGGATTGCTACAATCAGCACAAAACGGGTAGAAGCCGAACAACCTAGAAAAGTCGCCCAAATGCAAGTTGCACTCCAGTCCGTTGGTTTGACACATATCCAAATTGCGGTTCCACAACATCCCGAAAAGCCAGGCTAAACCATCAAAAGGCCTGATATCAGCACATGACTGCTCAGCCTTTTGTTCTCTGGCTCAAATGGCCAGGCACCCTTTGTTTGGGATACCTTTGGAGAGCAAACGAAGAAACCGGTCCCCGCCCCCCCAAAACAAGTGAAAACGGTCCTCAGCCCCTATTTGGTGTAACCAATCCGGTGGCCATGCGCGGGCCCGGCGTAGAGTTTCATGGCCATGACCTCCAGCAACTGAAGCCTCGGAGCGGCCAGGTGCTGCTTGTTGCGCTCCCCCTCGAAGGTCGGGTGTGTCGTAAGCTGCTGCTTGAGGGTGCCATTGTGGGGGTTGGTAAAAAAAAGGGGGAACTGCAAACAAATGAGAATTGGTACCCCTATTTGAGACAAACCGTTCACCCATATGCGATTCAACATCGGTGGGCCCCATTGGTTGCCAAAGATGGGCGTGTCGGCGTGTCTTTGGGAGCTGGTGCCCTTGGTGGGTGCTTTAAAGGGAAATCTAAAGGAAAACCCAAATCCATCCCGCCTGAACCCAAACCCGAGACTATACGTTCAACTTGTGCTTGGCCTTTAGCGTAGTCCCCAACAGTTGAACAGGTTTTTAACGCACACAAACTCTGTGTGACAATCTCAGGATCCAGACTTCCACACAGGTTGCACCCCTCCTGAAATGCGGGACAGTTCAAGAATCTTGTTCAAACATCGCAAGGCTGAGACTTAAAGGAATTGACGGAAGGGCACCAGGACTGGAGCCTGCGGCATGTGACTCAACACGGGGAAACTTGCCAGGGCGAAATGGATGGCACAGGTGGCACAAACGACTCCGACATCGACCTGGAGGCTCCGGATCTGACCCGAAATAAATATGGGTCAAGGACCAACCATGATTTTGGGTAATGACCAACCATTTTTTAAGGGTCAAAGTGAGACTCCAGGTACAGCTGCCCGGCCGAAGCCTGCGGTACTCCCACGGCTGCTTGCACTGCCCGAACTCCGTGGCACCGAGATCGATCCGAAGCTTTCTAGGGAAAACAGAAATGATAACCTCGAAATGGTGGCGAACTGGGAACAACAAACAGCAACCTGAATCTGGACATGGGTCAAAATCCAAATCGTACCCCCAGTGAACATCCCAATCCCCATTAAAATAGGTTCTAAAATGGGTGGTGAATTCACCTACCAACCAAAATGGTACCATTGGTTTTGACCCACAGCCATCTGAACCTCCCCCCCCAGCAAAAACCTGAGCGCTTTGTTGAGCAGCACCCATGCCATGGCATTCTCCGGCAAACACGCGGAGAGGTTGAGGCTGATCAAATGCCTCAGCTCGTGAGCCAACTCTCCGAATAGACGCGAAGAAAATGGGTCTTCCAGCTTGGCTGTCGCAGGAAATACCTAGAGTCTCCCTCTGACCCTTTCAAAAATGGGTCAATGACCAACCATTAATTGGGGTAATGACCCCATTTTTGAAGGGTCATGGAGACTCCAGGTATGTGCCCTATGTTCTCCCTCAGAGAAAATTGTCGGTGCCTGAGTCTACTGCACCGCTGGTGACAAGCCGCTCAACTTCCCAGCCAAAATGCGCAACTGGTGCTTGGGAGCCCGCAATCTGATTTCATTTGCTCATCTCTGAAAAACGGCCAAAGTGCGGAACAGCGGTCTCTGCCATCTGTCCAAGCAAGTGCGTGCACGGCTCCTGGCGTCCACAGAATGAAGCAAGTGAACCCTGCAGCGCAGCGCCTCGCACAAAATACCCTTCCCACAACTATGGAACCCAACTGGGGGGGTCTGGAAGATAAGGTTCCTCTACAAGGGATCCTCTAACAGGAGGGTAATGGGATTAGATTTAATTACTAGCCCTCCTATGAATCGGGTTGTTCTCTTGAAGGTAAGGAAGCCTCAGGAGGCACACCCCTCCTAGGTTTCGCATTCAAGGCTGTCAAGCTGGACCTTCGACATGCTGCAGAAATTGAAAACAAGTGAGTCTCAAAGAATTGGCATCTGAGATAATCAAGAACCGAACCGGGTTCCCCTGGGGCCGTTTTCTCATGGAACAAGTTGGTCTGAAAGGGAAACCAAAGGAAGCCAAAGCCCGTTTGTGGGTTCCATTTTATATTTGGGAGGTCGCAAAGGGGGGGGGGTTCCCTTCAAAGCCCAGAAAGGGTACTGCAGAATCTTGGACATCATATGAAGATCGATGCCCACAACCATTTGGGAGGGTGGTCCAATGAAAAGTCATACCCCTCTGGCGATCTCTCTCATTTTTGGGGGACCCTTTTTTGGCAGCCCGCTGAAGTCCCAAATACAAAAACAAGAAACAACATGTCCAGCAATAGAATCCTTTTAAAACCAACAGGGGTAAAAACAAAAAGCATATGCTTCACTAAATGGGAGCCCCAGAAATGCCGAGAACCCCAAACCAAATGGAGCGAGCGGCCCGAATTTCGGGCCCCGACCGAATCGATCGCCTCCTGCCCGGAGCTCACCAAACGTCCACTGTCGCGGAGCTCTGCCTGGGACACCAGCAGCGCCTGGCCTCGACAGATTCCCCGTCAACACATTCCCAAAACGGGTACCTGGAGTCTCCATGACCCTTTAAACATGGGTCAATGACCCCATTATTTTGGGTAATGACCCCATTTTTTTGAGAGTCATGGAGGCTCCAGGTATGGACGACAGAAGCAGGGGTTCGCCTTAAAATAACCAACCCCATGTCATTGCTATGCTTGAAACGAGACATGGGACGACCCCGCGAAATCATTGCTTTTTTGTGAGTTCCTTTAACAAGCCCAACACACTCAAAAGCAGGGACCACAGCTTGCTGCTTCGACGGGGCAGGGAATGGGTTCGACTGAACTGAGCGGATTGTTAGGTCCATTCATGAAATATGTTGTGATTTCTTACTGAGCGCCGGCAAGAAAAAAAAGGTCCACAACACATCTTGACTTTGTGTTTCCAGCTCACAAGCTTTCATCTCTGCTCCATTTTGATGGCCACTCCTTGATCTTGATAAAGAAGTTACAGGGGTCATTCGCAACTCAAGAGAAGGCTTCCCCGGCTGTGAACAGTCGATTTCTGCAGTCACATTCTGTCCTCCCCACGGAAGTGTAATCTGAACCTTTTCCGCAAGGAACGTCGCCTTCCTAGGCCATAGGTGTCTGTCATGCCCATGTATTTTGGATGCTAGGTGTTTGTCCCGGATTGCTCGCTCACAGGTGACCCGACCGGAAGACGGTTCTTTCCAGTGCTGCCAGTTACCCTTATATAGTAGGCAGGCAATAATTGAAAGCACTGGGTTCTATACTGGAACGTTGCTTGTCATCTTTAGGTACCGCTCGAACAAATGAAAAACACCGCAAGCCCCGCCTGCTGGTTGCCGCCGCATCGCTTCGCAGTGCTGAAAGGTGTGCCTGGACTCGCAACATCGAGCCTTTCTCGGGTGGCATGGCCAGGCCGCGACTGACAGTTCGTTGCTTGCGACACATTGGGACCACATGGCTGCCTTATGCAACTGCAACTGGCGCAAATTAAATGCTGACTCAATGGAATAACTACTAAAACTATGTTGCTTTAGCTAATTTTATTAATAAAACAACCAAAACAAAAACGAAACTTCAGGTTAGTTGCCGCAACTTGCATAAATTATGTACCTGGATCAAGGTCTGCCAAGGAGGGCTGTGGCACTTTGGGAGTGATTCCGACCCCACGTCCAAGAAATCCAGGTGACTCCGAGTGGATCACAACAACTCACCAACCACAAGGGCCAACCAAAAGGGGGCCCTGAAGCAAGGAACTTTCTGGGGTGAGACCGCACACCCCTTGGCGAATTTGCGGCGCCCGTGTCCAGGACATCGCCCCATGGGCGTCTTGCCGCTAAGTCGGGCCGACATGGACCCGAAGTTGGACCTAGATCCCACCGGGGTGGTGAGGTCCCCAATTCCATCGACTTACAAGAGGAGCATTGGGTGTGGAGATCTGGGTCTAGTGGATGCATCCTGTGTTCCCAACCTTCAACCTGTGTGTCCTTTGTGGTTCCCTCAAAGTTATCAAAAAATGGCGTCTTCAAAATCAAACCAACCAATAGGATGACCCCCCGAAACGACGTGCGTCCTCTGAATTCGCTTTATATAAACCACGCTCCCCACCCACCTAAGAAAGGGTTCCCCTCAAACACATCCCCAAAAATGGGACCTCCAAACATCCTAAAAGGCTCCAAGCGAACCCAAAGCAACTTTATCCAACTCCACCGGGGCTCCGATTCTGCATGTCATGGCCCCCTTGACCAAAACCAGCCCGATGGTTGGTTTAATATCGCCCCATTCCTGACAAACGAAAACCAGCAACTGTTTATCTCCAGGCCCCCGACAACAGGTACCCTTCCTCCCACCAACATGACAAAGGGTACCTGGAAGATCAATTTCCTTTTGGAGGAACCCCCTGTCAGGTGCCATGGCGATGAGAGAGCGAGGGTACCCCCAAAACGGCGCCTTCTGAACCAAGGCCAATCAGACGCTCCGGTCCGAGCTGTTTCGGTCCGGGCCGCTGGAAGTCGTCGGCCGAAAACGCGCCCAAGCGTGCGCAGGCCGCCAACCGTTGCAGCGGCACAGAGAAGAGGCCGAGGCGGTAGACACTGCTGGGCTGCAACTCAGAGCATTTCTCATGCAGTGGATGGACGAGATCCATTTCGCACCACCGTTCAGAAAACCTGGTTTCTGATGAGCCCCTATAAATACCAATCAACAATGGTTTCAAGCATGGTTTCACGGTGGTGCCAGACGGATTTTGTCCATCCACAGTGTGAATCAGAGTCGCATGCTTCGCAAAATCGGTGTGACGTGTTTAAGTTGGTGCCCCTTGCATGGATAAGGGAAACCAACAGAAACCACCCACAGAGGGTTTTCCCTAGACAAGCCCAAGGGGTCAAATGTTGGGAAGGTTTTTAGGGGAAACCACAAGGAAACCAAGCTAAAGGAACTGGTCAACTTGGAGAAACACCTAAATAATTAGTAGCACCCTAAAATAATACCCGGACCATATATTCTTTGGCTGCAAAGGGATGACTTTTCTTGGGACCTTGGTGTACGTTTACATGGACATTTATGCTTGCCAGGCATTGACAAGAAATGATTTCCCCTTCACAAATTGCAAATCAGTGCATTCCCATGAACCTGCCACTCTCGGAAGGTCCAAACTATATGTGTGGGAGGGGGGCATGGTTGTGAAGAATGAGGCACCATTCTGCGATACCCAGTGGGCCCTTCCCTGTGACAACTTTATCAAAGAATGGGAAATTGCAACTTGGCCGCCCGAACATGGAGCCGAAGACCTTATTCCAACCATCCGTGGATCCCTGTCTGAGCAGGCTCCCCAGGGCCGAAATTGCAATGGAATCCACTTCTGGGATACAACAAAAAAGAGCCGAACCCCAAAGACCAACCCCCCAGCCCCCCATACAAAGAAGAGATTCCCAGTGAGATTCTTTAAAGTATCACAGTGGTTGGACAAATTCCGGGTGATCAACAACGCCCCAAAGCTCATGGCTGCCAAACACAGAGAGCTAAGCTTACGGCGTGACTCTTCACGTGCCAGCGGAGGTTGTTCTGTAGAGGCCGAGCAAAGAGCACGATCAAGTGGCCGATGCTACTCAGGAGATTCCTCACGCCAAAACTCAAGCCAAGGACTTGTGTATGGGAATGTGTCAAAGGGGAGTTCCCCCCAAAACAGGTGGTGCCCTTCAAGAGGAGACTCGCTTAGAATTGGTCCAACTTTTTTTGGAGCTGGCGGCTGGCGGTTGCAGACATATCGTCGAAGATTGCTTGCCCTTGCATCCTAGACGCCCAGGCAATGGACAAAGGGACACCCTTTTTGTTGCTTGATTTCAAAAGGAAAACATGGCCCAGTGCTTCTAGCTACCACTATAGGTAACCGGCGGGGGAAACCATGCATGGTGAACCCTAGAGCTAAGAAACCCTGGTTACCGATTATAGTGGTATGCCTGGAAGCAGTGGGATGGGACACCCCCCCCAGAAGGGCACACCATGTAGGCGTCCGCGGCATGTGCCGTGGTATGTGTCTTCATTGCATGCCGAGTGGGCAAGCACACTACCGCAGACAAGTCACAAGTAGTGGGTGAGATACTCCCAAGACTTCGCATCGTTTTCATCAGCTCCATCCACAAATATGATGACCTCAGCTTCCAAGGACATTTGGATCTGCAATTGTTTCCAAAAGCTGACATAAGGCCCAAAGTAAAAGACCTTTACCATAGCTCGTTTTACCCACAGGTGAGCTCGCCATAAAATAAGGCAGATGGATGACACCCAGCCCAGCACTTCCGGCCCTTTTTGGCGTGGCTTTAGGAGGGAAACCAAGAATTGTGCGATTCCTACAGATTGTCATATTGGAACCTGCCAATGGTTTGTTATGGGTTCCCAACCAGCAAAATGGCAGCCGCTAGCTCAACAAAACCAACCAAAGGCTCACTTTAGGAAGATGGTCTTCCAGGACGCCCCCCCCCCCTTTCGGTCAGGTTCCATGTGAGTGGATGTGATGGTATCCTCATCCAAGACACACACACACACAGCATTGCTTGCGGCTGATAAGACCCTCCATTCGCTTAAGTCCCCTGGAAAAAAATATTCCAGTAGTGATAGATTCCCTTTAAAACCAACAGGGGAAAACCATGTTCTTAACCAAATGGAAGAGACTCACACACACACAGACACGAACTTGAGCTGAGCTATGGGCTCTGCGGCTGTATAGGGCCTGGCGAAGAAGTCAAGAAGATCCCGATCCATTGAAATCATGACCCCCGCTTCGTTAACAAGAAAGTGCCCCCTCCGTACACCCTTTCCCTATTTCTGCTGTGTCCACAAACAAATGATTGTGTCTTTTTGTATTACGGGGCCCCCACAAATGGATCGTTTCCCTTTGGCGTTCCTTTAAAACCACAAGAAACGGGGTGCACTCAAAAAAGACATGTATGGGAAGGTCACTTGACAACATTCAAGGGGATCCGCTTCGCTTGGCATCACGAAAAGTAGCGGGCGCCCCCCCCAAAAATGTGGTTTTCCTGTTGGCTTCCCTTGAAACCCCGCCAAAAGCGGGGTTTCCGAGCCTCAAATAAAAGACGCCGCAAACCGGTTTCCCAGGTATCATGGCCCCCGCCTGCCACAGGAGCTTGTAGCTGGCTTTGTTCTGCTCGAAGCGGGTCTGCAAAAGAACCTCCATGCGGGAGATCGCAACTCTCGCAAAAAGTCGCTGACTCGCGCTTGGGCCATCAGATCGCCCGTGGTTCTCCAAGTAGCATCCAACACATCGCCTTCAGCACAATAGCCTCCCGGTGGACAAATGACACGTACCTTGGCCGGGAGCTCATCAATTTCAGCCATGGGAAATTCTGCGTGCGTGTGTGTGAAGAGCACTCCTTCTGATTAGACTGGGATGCCACTATCTGCGATCATTCCTATATGTTGCCAACCTGAGTTAAGAGATCCGCAAGTGAGAGACCTTCATCATGGGCTACCTTGTTTCCATTGTGAACTTGTCATAATTAGTGCTGCACCTTTCAAAGCCGAGGGATGCGGTAAGAGTCCTTTGAGAAAATCATTGGCACTAGTATACAATCAGACCAAACTGAAACCAATGCCATCTATACAGTTCAACCTATTCACCAAACACTGTGTTGCTCCCCACACCCTGTCACAATCCCGGGTAAATTACGGGAGACTAAAACTCACTGGCCCAAAAAAACAAACTTTAGATTTACCACTAAAATGGTCTTCCCAAAAAGTTTAAAGTTCATGAACTCAGGAAGTGAGAAAAGGACATACCCCTTTCCAGCCTTGCGATCTTGGTCCGTAGGCTCCCCTTGGCCCAACGTGCCCGTTTCCAGTTCTCCGGGCCGCTATCTCCTTTGCCTCCAGCACAAGAGGCACCACTCCTGCCAATGGAAAGCGGCGGATTTCCTTCGGAAGACTCCCGGTGAGGAATTCCGGTGAGGAAGACCACGTTGAGGAACGGAACCTCCTCTTGTGCTACGCCGTTTTGGGGTCCAGGATACTTTGCAGGATCTTTGGATCCGAATCTTGCATACAAAGAATGAGAGCCGTTAGTCGAGCCGTGGGAAGGTGGGGTCCCTGACACATACCCTGAGTGTGTCGTTTGCTTTCCCGTGGATACCCCCTTCCAGGCCCCCCCGATGGCCGGTAATTGGCGTCCCGGGTGAAGTGCCGGCAATTGACCAGCACTTGCTTAAAAATGGTTTTGTAGTCACATAGACTTTTGTGCCATCATCAACGTGCAGTGAAAAGTCACTTTTGTTGAAACGTCACTTCAAGAGGGGATCCAATTGAGGGGCTGGCATGTATGATCATTGCACATGCAACGCGCGGGGGGGAGGGGGGCGACACGCTGGTGACACGCTCATATCCCAAAAAAGTGACCGTTCAACGTACATGTGCCGGCAATTGGCCACCCCCCGACACGCCGTGACACGCTCCTCAAGAACCCCTCCCAACCTCAAACTTGCCCTCCAAACCTCAAATTTGCTGCTCTCCCCTTTCCCCTGCAACCCCATTCCAAAGGACCCTGAAAGGTCACTTGTATCATTGCACAAATTGCACTAAGTACAAATGAGTGATACTTGATAGCAAATTGCCTTTGCAGTCATTTAGACATAAAGTGACATCGTTTTGCCCAAAATCCATGTGCCGGCAATTGGCCAGCCATTGGGGGGTGCTGGTTCTGTTTGGTTTTACGGGGAAACCAAAAGGAAAACATCTATTTTGGGGGGTGTTGCCGTTTTGGGTCTTTCTTTAAAGGGGTACAGTACCCACAAAAAAGGACACAACCGCATAGACCAGCGACGAGCTTCACAGCCCTTGCCCGCCCAGTCGGCACCTCCACCCGATGTAACGAGGCTCTCGAGGAGCAAACGGTGCAACAAGGTGCTCTTGCCCGTGGCCGGCTTGCCCCAAACCTCAGATTTCAGCTTTGAGTCTTTGAGTCAGAACCCAACCTCAGCTTCCCCCCAATTGGTAGTTTGGATTGGTGTGGTTAAGGAGGGGTTTCCCAGTTACTCGTACCCTCTACAGCTATGGAGTGCCTAAGAACCTGGGTGGGTTTTTCGACATCAGGGGAAACCAACATATTCCCAGCGCCTCTTGGCCTTTTGGGAGGAACACAACGCATGAATAGTGGCGACTTAGAAGCTAGTATCTCCGCACAATTTATTGGTACACACAGAATTGGAGCATGTCTTGCGGTCAATTCCTCTTTTTCTTGGGTTCAAACCCCTGACCCTGACCTAGGCCAACTCTTCTCCGAGCGAACCCCATGCTAAGAAACACTTGTTGATCGAGGACATCTTGAAAAACACCCAAAGTGGCTGGGTTTCAGGTCAATGCACTCCATGTGCGTCATAATCAAAACCGATCGGTACAAACATGATCGATCCTCAGAACCATGTAAAGAATTGAAAAGGCGGATATCCGCACTCATTTATGGCTGGGATTGTCCCTTATCATCCAATTACCCGGGTTTTGATTGTGGCTCATGTCAGTTCCTGGGGAACTGCCTAAACACCCAAAGTGTATTCTCCGATTCTGCTCCGTGCTTAAACTACCCGATGAATCAACTCCAATCTCTCTGGAGCACGACCTGATGACCGAATAGCTTACTGCCTCGCTTTTTGTTTGCCCGTCAAACCAAAGGGGATGCGTCCCTTGCACCTGGCAATGCGAAAGCGCAAAACTGGGAACCTACGTGGGTTTCCTTGGCTGCCCTTTCAAACCCCAAAACGTGCATGCGAAAAGGCGCTGTTTTCCGGCGACTGATACGCCCGAACAAAAGTACTTGCGTTGCCCCCTTGCGCATGGGACAATTGCGTGGGCCAATGGTTCTTGCTTGAAACTCGGGTCGACCCCATGTCCTTCCCAAACTAACCCAGTGGATCCATCTACCTGGCTTTGTAGGTGTCCAAGGGAACCACCCTTTAAAAACCAAAAGGAAACTAGCTGTTACGTATATGGGTAGTTGGCATCCACTGGGTAACTGTAGACTACACCACTAATTTGATCAGACTCTCAAAGGCTGGCCGCGAGACGGCTACACAACCGCCATTGGTTGACTACCCAAGGTAGACTCAAGCCCATAGGGTGCTTCACGTCCTCCATAAAGCGGCGAACCCGAAAGGGATCCAAGCCGGGGTAGAAAACCCGAGGGTAAGGAAACCCGACAACCGGGGTTGGTAGGGTGGTTGATATCCAACCAAAAAGGACCAAAGGGAATCGGGAAACTCGGATTTCAGTCGACCTTCGGGCAAGGAGCACCGCGGAGCTGTGCAACCTTGACACGCAATTGGGACATCTGATGCCACACCCGGCTGGCTCTTTTGTTGGATCCCTGCCCCCCAAAAACAGGTAAAAGGGGGACGCCCTGGCAAAAACAAAACAAAACAACAGGTGCCCTTTGACTACCTGGAGTCTCCATGACCCTTAAAAAATGGGTCAATGACCCCAATATTGTGAGTAATGACCCTGTTTTTTAAGGATCAGAAGGAGACTCCAGGTAGTTGGATTCTCCCCCCCCCCCCCGCTTGGAAGCAAAGCCCAACCCACGTGGCTGCTCGCCCAGCGGCCAGCACTGTACGACCCTGCACCGCCCCCGCTTCGCGCACCTCGCGAGGCATGGCTGTGGGTCAAAACCAATGGGATCCCATTTTGGTTGGTAGGTGAATTCACCACCCATTTAGTCTTAGTAGGTGCACCACCCATTTAGTCTAAGTGGGGATTGGGATGTTCACTGGGGTACGATTTGGTTTTGGACTTTTGGCCGCATGGAAACCATCCCTTTTCTTCCACTCCGGTTCGGAATCCAGGGAACGCTTCACTGAACCTGCCGTGGGGTGCACGAATCACAAAAAAACGTGTCCCATCGCTTCCCGGCTTTAGCGTCCGCACATGAGTTGTTATCATTAACCCGGAACTAAAATGGTTGTAAAGAAGTCCAAAGGCGAGGCGGAGATCCGCACCCATTTATGGCTGGGATTGGCCCTTACCCTCCAATTACCCGGGTTTTGAGCACGTGACGCGCATCGAAATAGTTTGTGCAGGGCGCAACGGCGACAAGGCTCAAACAGCCAAAAGAAAGATCCTGATCTCCTGGTCTTTTAGGCGAACACACAAAACCTCACGTGGCCCATTTGGCCAAATGCCATTCCCGGGTTCGACGTGCCAGGTGACCACGGCCAGGGAATGCCGTTTTGGGGTCGATTCCATTTTCAGTAGGGAACCCACCAAACAGAAAGGGACTTGGAGGGTGAAACCCGCTGAACAATTGAGTCATCCAATGCCGAAGCAACTTGCCCACAAAGAAAAAACATTTACACGCATTCTTCTCTTATCATGATTTTAAACTGCGGTTTCTTTTAGTATGCCACAACCACATTCTAGCCATTTATAGACCGTTATAATAGTACAAGTGTGTTTGAGGCAATCACACTTGCTGCAGGAGGCATCAGGAGGCAGGAAGGGAACGTCTGACGGCACACATCTGAATGGACAGGTTCTTCGGCAGGTCCGGTCCATCAGCTTGAAATCAGCTGAAAGGGAAGCCCTGAAACACGATCTACCGATGGAAAATCATAGAATACCCTTCCGGCAGCCACATCGATTTTGGCGACAAAATGACCATGCCCTGTCCCTTCCCTTTCAAGGTCAGAACAAAATGATTTGCAAATCTCTTCTGTAATCCCTCCCACTTCTTGACGGCATGGCTTGGTTTGGCATTTTTGTTCTTCGGTGCTTTGAGCAGCAAATATAGTACAAATGCACGACCCTGTTGATCACGACGTAGTGAAACGAGCCTGGACAAAAGCGCAAGGCTCCGTGCTGGTACTGGTCCGAGTATCTTACATGCCTTCTCTGACCTCTGTTACCACTCTCCGTTTTCGTCTGCTGGCCAGCGAGGCATGCACCAGAAATGAAAGCAGTTCGATGGGACACCCTTGTCAAATGGATTCCTTGTCCGATCATACACAAAGGCATCCTGGTCAAACAAATTGTTGTACTCATCATCATCCAACTGTTCCACTGGCACATCGTCACCGAGGCTGGTGTCGTTCGCCACATAGTTCTGCTTCTTCTTCCACTCTTGTGCCGTCTCGTTCCTCGAGATCAGGCCCGCATGTATGTTGAGCATTGGCCCTTCGATGGCCACCAAGGCAATCGAATAGGCTAAATGGAGCGCAACAATGATCTCGCTCTGCAAAACATCCATCTTGGCAATGGCTACTGCTACCCACAAGTCGATCACAATTCCCAGGAAGCCTATCAGGGTCAAACCAATCAGCATCGTGACAAACTCCCGGTGGTTCAGAAGACCGATCGTATTCTTGAGCCATTTGCAGTAGTGATCATATCGACGGATGGGCCTGGGATACTGCCACGACTTGTGCGCGCGCCTTGGAAGGCCCTTCTCAATGTCCATTCCCAGCTGCGCGTTCCGCGTCCCTTTGACTTGACCGGGATCCGCAAAAGCGCAGTGCGTCATGCACGCCAGCGTGACAACATAGAGAACGGAAAAAGCTGCAGAAAGAGCAGCTTGCGACATCAACGTGATCCGGCTAAGGATCGGAATTTGCACGCTCATCATGCATATGGCTCCAACTATCGTTGATGACGCAAGGGCTGATGGCAAAATAGGTTTGAAATCGATGCCCCAGAATGTGTACTCCAAGTTGGGGCCCTGGCCTTCCTCATCATCATCTTCATCATCCTGCAACCCTTCTTCACACGACTCCTGAGTGTTTGACGTAGGCCTGACAGCCGGAATGTCGTAGGCGCATGTTTAAACGACTTAAACAACTTGCATTTGGACCACCAAAAAAGGAAGATGCGGGTGTTGGGATGTTTCAAAGTTTTAACTTGCTTAAACGGTCCGCCTAAACATGTCTACCTCAGGAGCCGGATTCAACAAAACAAAAAAACGAAAACGTCGCTTCAACGCTTAGAGACAGGTTGAAACGCTTCGCCTGCCTGAGGGGCATGTGCCCTCCAGCACAGTTGCCCATGGCGAATGATGTTTAACTACCATCTTTCGGTTGAGAAAATAACGTTTAAACGATTAAACAAAATTAGAGGAGGACCTGCAAAAATGTTTAACTGTTGCTAATGTTCAAAGCGGTTTGATATGGTTTGATGTTCAAACGTGTTGATCCCTTTCCTGCCTGACAGCAGTCAGAAGGGTGGGTAGCGGCCTGCCGTTGCTCGGGGATGCAAGCTTGCGGATGTAGCCAGGAGGAGGCTGCATCAGCGCAAGGCCGCGGGCATACATAGCGAGTGCAGCTTCTGCTTGACAAGAATAACTTCTCATGTTTTGATCTCTATCACCGCTTTGTGCGTTGAAGCCCATCTATGTGCCAGCAAAGCAGGATTTCGCCCTCCGGTTGAGCCAGGCATTTGGACATAAGACATATTGGGCGGCGCGTCGGAGCCTGCGACCCCCTGCTTATCGCTGGGTTTGGTTGGGGCAATTTGGGGGGGGGGAGGCGGGGGAACTCAAGGAACGTCAAGACGTAGACAAGATAGGACTTTCAATCTGTCGTTCTTTGCAGCTCACTCAAATGAATGGAGTCTCCACGACCCTTAAAAAATGGGTCAATGACTAACCATGATTTTGGGTAAACCATTTTTTAAGGGTCCTTAGGGAGACTCCAGTTACATGTTTATAACTTGGCTTCAGTTTCCCTTGCTTGGGCGCCACGTGTGCGGGAGAGGCTTCAGATCCAGGGAGACCTTTGATTCGAACGCTTCGATCTTCCGATTCGCTTCCATCCGCCTTGCTGGAGAGGGGGGCGATGTCCTGCAGAAGCTTTTGCCAGGCCCTTGGCATTTTTTGGCGTTAGGCTTGTGGCCTAAAATGGGTGTGGCTCAAAATTAAACGATCGGAGGGGCAAGCCACAGGTTTTGGCCGTGTTTCCACTTGCCAGGGCAACCCATTTTGGTAGCAGTTTTTTGAGCCGCAGCCAAATCGGGAGGGAAGGGGGAGGGAGAAGGGGAAGGGGGAAGCATGGGCAAACAGGGCTTCGTCAGTTTTACATGGAGTCTCCTTCTGACCCTTTAAAATGGTTGGTCACTCCAGGTACATGGAAGAGTGGAGTGCTTGCACTTGCCGAAGATTAATTCACAATGGGTTGCTTCTCAGCAGTGGGGAGGGGAAAAGGACACCTGTTCAGAATCGGCAGCAATCGGATGGTTGGCTTTCCCTGGTTCAAGCACCATTCTGAATTCTATGGGATGGTCCTCCCGCTTTTCTCAAGAACAAACCAATCTTCAGATGTCCAAGTTTTCTGACAAAAACACAAGAACCAATCGGGCTAATGATCCGCCCAGCCTTGCCTTCGAACATTTCGGCTTCTCTGTTTCTGTTTCGGATCTCCGGAAAGCAGGGTTTAACTGTTGACCTGGGGGGGGGTGATCAATATTCCTGACCCCCAGCTGAGCAAGGGAAACAGTTTTCCCATTTAGTGGGACATATCATAGTTTGTGTGGTTTCCCCAAAGGTCTTCCCATGTATAGCGTGTAAAGGACCTTTTTATCAACCCCCCCCCCGACACTTGTTTTTGGTGGAGGGGAATCCTAAGGAACCTATTGTAGAGGTCCCTCACTAATTTTCTCAGTGACGGGGTTCGAAAAAAACATCTGAGGAACATTTGAGGGGTTCTGCTCTTGGAGCATGGCTGTGGAAACTCACCTCTTCCTTGATACCATGGGCCATTCCCATGAGTTTCAATCCTTGGCATCACACAAGTTGTCCCTAAAACCTATTTTCCAGCACCATGCTTTAAACACACAACCCCCCCCAAATCCCCCCCAATTCAAAAAGAAAGACTAAATTGAAAGGCTTCACAGCACATGGCGCCCGTTTCGAAACAAATACATGCCTGTGTGTCAAAACCAATGGTACCAATTTCGGGTAGGTGCACCACCCATTTTAGTCTATTTTCGTGGGGATCGGGATGTTCACTGGGGGTACCCGGGATTTTGACCCATGGCCATATAGAGGCCCCCGCTGCTCGTGCCCTTCGAGGCTTTCATCTTTGACGCCCTCCAAATCGCTGTCACTGGCCTCGAAAGGCTGGGATGTAGCGGGAAAACCTACTGGCTCTATGACTTTACCGTCGAAGAGAACCGCTGAGTGATAGGATGAAGGGCAACAAGCCCAGTTTCCGACTTTGACAACCCCCACCACTTCACAACCCCAGTTGTTGCAGGTTTTGCAGTTGGACACTAGGACACTCTGTGTTTTGGAACACCAATGCAACGAAGACAAATGAACAGTTCTGCTTCGCAAAGCATCGACCCTCGCAGCCTCTGCTGAGCTGCTGCTGCCGTCATCAGCGCTTTCAGAGTCTTCGGCTGACTCCTGTGAGACGCAAACTCAATTTCAACCAGCTGAGCATCTTGACATCAGCTGGGGCTCGTCTCCAGGGGCAGACCCCAAACTGGAAGCTTTTGAAATTGGCTTCCCTCAACAAAAACAAGACCTCAGCTCTCCTTTTGGGTACCGAGAGCCCACCATCTCCTTGTTTTTTTTGCTTGGCTTGGCTCGCCAATCCCAACACAAAAAGGGCGCACAGCCTGGGCGAGTCAGCCCACCTCTGCCGAGGCCACTGGGAGAACCGCAAAGGTCAGCGCCAGCACGTCAATCCACCGAGTCTGGGCTGGCACACCCCGAACTGCAACCGCAACCAACCCCAACCCCCCAGCCAAAAAAAAACGCCGAGGTCCGATGCAACCCCCGTAAAGCCCAAAGCAGTGGTTTCCCAAAACGGGAAGCCCACAAACAAAAGTCCTCCTACTGTGAGGTGAACAACACCCATTTCGCACCAGTTGGGGTGGGACAAAGCGTTCTTGACTTTCTTTGATACTTTGTTTCTTACAACACGGGGACCCAACCCATCATCGCTTCCAGCGTAGATTTAGATACCCTTCAGTTGCGTTTTTTTCCTCCTCCAGATTTGATGGGTCCGTACCTGTCAGCTTCCATGTTGGAGCCTGGAGTCTCCCTAAGGACCCTCAAAAAAAGGGGTCATTACCAAAAATGGGTCGTTGACCCATTTTTTACGGGTCAGATCCGGAGACTCCAGGAGGGCACAACTCAGCCAAGCTTCTGAGAGGGCATCTGGAATATGGCTATGGCGCATCCACAGGTCCTGGTTGAACCTTTGCGCGCACCTGGCCAAAACGACTTTGCATCCTCGGCGCGACTTGTTTTGTTTAAACATCTACCTGGAGTCTCCATGATCAATGACCCCATTATATTGGGTAATGACCCCGTTTGTTAAGGGTCATGGAGACTCCAGGTATACATTCCGCGAGTCTCTTTGGACCAGGGACCAGTGGAATCCGTCCACTGAAAAAGCAAACATACCCCAAACGAACGCCTATCCCCTGACCTCCGTGAATTGGCCAAACATGTCCAAACTTGTTGTCTGCAACCAAAATTGTCTTCCCAAAAGACAACATAAAGTCCATGAACTTGAGAAGTGAGTCCCTGCTTTCACAAGTGGTACGTATCGTTTTTCCACACATCAAGCCTATAGATGCCGTTAAGAGGCGAACACCCATTTCAACGGGCGTGGCCGGCCCACATTTCACGGGTCTTCCTTTGGCTTCCCATGAAACCTTCCCAAACGGGGTCTCCGAAAAAGACGCCGAAGGACACCCCGTGGTGTTGCATCCATTCGTTTTGTGTTTTGGTTTGTGTGTTCCAAAAAACACTGTTTTCCTGGGATCCTTGAGGGGTGTAACCGCGGAGTGTGCTTCATACAAGTGTAGCAGGGGCTTTTCTTATGACACACATGATTCTCGTATGATGACTAAATATAGTTGTTGCGTATATGCCACAACCCCATTCTAAAATATGTCGGCCCTAATATTCATACGCAGAAGGAACGCCACGGGGTCAGTCGAGCTGCGCATCGTACAGGGCCAGTTTGAGCTTTGCCGGGGAGTGGTTCAGCTCGTTGAGGCTCCTCGGATACGCGCTCGCACGAGCGGAAGTGGAACAAAGGCTGCGCGCCTGCCAAGGGAAATGCCCTGCGTCTAAGTCAGGGCAATGTCGAACATGGGCGGTGTCCCATTTCACTTCCCTTTTAAATCAACCCCCAAAAGGGAGCCTCGACATATTGTGTTCGATTCAATCTCAAATCAAACTGATGGCAAACTGCGGATCCTTGCTGAGGAAATGAAGCATGTCAAAGCTAGGTCACCATCTTTTGGGCGAAGGTTGCAAAAAGCCGCTTTAGTCAAAACATGCCTGTGTGTGAAATCCAAACCAATCCGAGCACTCAAGCCAGGTGGTTGTGTTGAACGTCTTATCGATGTTCGTCCATGAATTGGTTGAAATGGTTATTTATCGCAGCAGCAAATAAAACAGACTCGCGGACCTTACGCACACTCGCAGCACTACTCACGACAGCTTGCGAGAAGGCTGGTCTTCTATTACCAAATGGTGCCTTTTCTGTAGGGGAATCTGGGCATCGCAGGTGAATGATTCTCTCTACATGGCCCAATCCCCCGGGGTTTCCCGAATGGGTTCAACGTGTCCCATTTGGATTTGTGTCAAAATTATTTGGAGTTCCTGTTGGTTGTCCTGAAAACCAACCAAAAGAGTACCCCCCCAAACAAGAAGGCAAACAAAATCAGCTCTGAATATAGGTCGGGCGGCGCCAAAAAGGCTTTCGGTTGTCCTTTTGCGCTCTGTTTAAACTAACCCAACAAGGGTAGCAACTCCACAAACACACGGATCTGGGGTTGTCTCAAAATAGGAGAGCCCCGAAAATTGCTGGTGTCCTTTCGGTTTCCCTTTAAACAACCACCGAACTAAGGGGAGTAGCAACTCCAGAAAAAGACGAGCCAGCCACCTGGAGTCTCCATGACCCTTAAAAAAAGGGTCAATGACCAACCATTATTTTGGGTACTGACCCCGTTTTTTAAGGGTCAGCAGGAGACTCCACTTACTTGAGCGTTTGATGCCGGGTGTCACCTTTTGCTTGCGCTTCTGCCCGCTTGGATCCTCGATCCGCAGCTCGTGGAGGTTGCCCACGCTGACGCCTGGAGACTCCGCTCGAAGGAACTCGGGCCCAGAAATGACCTGGAGTCTCCCTCTGACCCGAAATACAAATGGGTCAATGACCAACCATTATTTTGGGTAGTGACCAGCCATTTTTGAAGGGTCATGAAGCGAAGCCCCGAGGTCCTTCATTTTTAAGGCTGGACCCCCAGGTTTGGTGCTTCTCCTTTGCTTTCCCTTTAAAAAAACCTCCAAACAAGTGGTTACCCTGGGGTTCAGATACTAAAACCACCCTGCGGAGTTTCAGCCAATTAGGTCCTTGCCATTCTTCTGGGGCCAAAAGGAGCTTCCGAACTAATGGAAACATGATTCATGAATGAACCCCTTCTTGTTTCCCCTTTGTTTCCCCTTTGTTTCCCTTTTGTTTGCCTCAAACTAAACTGGGTATGTAACCTTTATTCATTTGTATCGTCCAGGGGTGTTCGTACATGCCCTTTTCCAGAGGGTCCAAGTACCTTCTAAGAACGTACTTAGACCCCTTTTTACCCCCCAGAGGCCATCCTCAGGAGGTACTTGGACCCTCTGGGTTTTACACACCCTTGGGCAAATGAACCCAACAGGTTGTTCATACCCGTCTCCCGGATATACCCCTTGTAAAGAGGTTGACAACCAGGGAAGCCAAAGGGGTATGAACAAGGGGTATGTACTTCCACCCTAGATACAGTGGAGATATGGTCCCCGTGTGCTTAGAATCAAAATGCCAACCATTCCCCAGACCCCAGTGGCCATGGCCCCTTCTTGTTGGCTGTTGGTTTAAAGGGACCCACCCCTCCAAAGAAAAAAGGAACCAATAATAAAATCAGAACCACTAGGTCATTCTAAACCTAGGATTCAAACCGTTTTTCTAGCGTCATTTGGGTCAAGGGCAAAGATCCTGGACTCCCAAAAAACACAACAACAAAAAGGAGAAACCAAACCCTTTTCTGCCTTTGCCCCCCCAAAAAAAGCAGGGGAACCGGAAAAAAAAGCGACTCGCTGAGCCCGGTCTGCTGCCCGGGGCGCTTAGCACCTCCGCATCCATCCACTCCCCGGCGAAGATCACCAGCTGCTGCGACTGCGCGTAGCGGAAGACCCCGGCCAGCCTCCGATCAAGCCGCAGTCGCAACCCAAAAGGTCCAAGCCAAGAAAACCGTCCATCCCCGATTTTGGTGTGGGTCAGAAATTGGTGCCCAAAATGGAAGCCTGGTAAATGGAAATATGGACTAAAACCTGCGGATACCTGCGGTCCCTACTGCGGTCCCTACTGGCTGAATTTTGACTCATACCCATTTGGTTTCCGTAAGAGAATCCCCCAAAACCGATGTTCATTCTCAACACCCGCGCACTCTCATGTTCTCTACCTATCGCACCAGCAAGGTTGTGGGGACGAGTTTGAGACACATCCATACTGTATCCCTCTGGTTTGGAGTTCGGTCACAGGGATTTCCATGGAGAAAATATGAGCTAAGTTTGAATTGAAGGCGGCCCCCTTCCAAAAACAAGAAAACAAAGGCATCACTGGAGGTTTGCTTCACAACAAAACGCGACTAGCCCATTCCCTCTGAGGGGCGGTTGTGGTTAAGATCCGTTTTGGTAGTCTTCCAACCACCAAAGACAAACTTGTGAAACCCATGGAAGGGTTGAACAAGTCCCACTTGAAAGGGGAACGGATGGATCATGACTCCGAAGCTCATGGGATCAAACTCCCTGGCTTCCCCTGTTTTACCAAAGCGAAGTGGTAGGGGGGTGGTTTGGGGAGGGTTGAAGGCTTCGGGCAACCTTTGGCTTGGATTGGTGCACGAAAGCAACGCGATTAAGCACGAACTAACGTGATTCCGACCTACAAAAGCGCCGCCCAGCTGCACAAAGGCCACCGGAAAACGAAATTAGCCTTCATTGCCGGGTTGATTTCAAGGGGAAATCCTGCAAAACAAACATCCGGGTGGCGCGGGGCTTCTCTTTTTGAGGCTAACCATTTCAAACTTTAGAAGAAAACTACAGGATATTGGCAAGCAGCTTATAGTTTCCTGGCCGCGGGTCGAAGAAGGCTGTTCTCTTGACGCCGTCCAGCTGGATATCGTACATGCCTGCGCAACAACTCCGTCGCATCCGTTCGCTCGTCTACGCCTTCCAGACTTTGTCCACAGCTCCGAACATGAGGCATTCGCAGGAGTTCGTCCTACAAAAATTCGCGCCAAATGGGTGGTATGCCTGAAACCTGGGGGTGCATCCAGCAACCCGCCCAAGCACAGCTCAGCCCAGCCCGCCCAGCCCAAGTTCCAGGCGCAACCAGCAGCGTAGTCCGGCTGCCCGGCAGCCAGCAACCCACCCATGGCTTCGCAGCCTCGTGGCTGAGACTAGCTTCAGGCCCAGCCCAACCAGCAACCCACCTCAGCCCAGCCTGCCCAGCCGGCATCTGAGAGCATGCCAGCCACCAGGCCGGTTCCCAGCTCCCTGCCAATCAGCAGGCTCAGCCCAGCGTGTCAAGGTCAGGTTTGTCTAACGTGCCGAGACTGGCCTCAGGCCAACGACCAGTCTCACGTGTCTGAGACTGGTCTCAAGCTACGCCAGCTACCAAGCCTGTCTGACGTGCCCCAGCCCCCCGGCCCCAAGTCATCCAAGCAGGCGCAGCCCCTTCGGCCTCTCAAGGTATGCCAGCCATTCGGACCTTCCCAACACTGGATTTCGGTGTTCCTGACCCTTCCCTCAAACTAGGCTGGGCCGAGGCGGGCAACGCGAAGCGTTTACAATTACAATACCTTGCCCTGATGGATCATGTTGGGCAAACAAAGGTCACACACGCCGAAGAAGCAGGCTGAAGTAAGAGCTCCCCTATAAACCTGCATCATGGATGAGGACTCAAACCCCGATAGATGAGGCAGCTACAAGTTGCCCAGACCTGTTTGCAACTTCGACGTGTGCAGCGTGTAGGTTTCAAAGTTGGTTCCGCTCATCCGCTATTCATTCCAAGTCGTACAAATGCGATCCATATGCAGCGGCCAGGACGCCATCGGATTGATGTACATATCACGCAACACATTTGACATACGCACCAATTGGATGCAAAGCTGCTCACCCCAAACAATACTCCTGTATAATAAATGATGGCTTTCCACGTTCTTGCTGCTCTTGTTCGACAAACAATAATATCACATTAGGGTATGTCGTACTTGAGCTACTCTTCTTGGGCCTGATTAAAAGGAAGACCAAAGGGACACCAAGCAGACGGGTCCATCCTTGGTATGCCCTGGGCAGTGATTCCATTCACCACATAGGAAACCAACAGAACCGAGCTCTAAGCAACTAAAGCGAACATGAGTCGCTTGCCGCGGATCATTGTTGCATCTTCTGTACAAGTACCTTCACGGTCGTCAATTCCATTTGTCTAGTCTTCGACACAAAACAAATGGAAGAACGATTCAATTAGTCTCAGGGGCACCCTCCCCCAATTCCATTTGGGTGTTTGCCAAACAAGGGATGGTCACAAATACATGCTCCCTCCAACTGGGCTATAAATGAAATGGATGTCGCACGCACCAAAAATATACCCATCTCCATGACCCTTAAAAAATGGTTGGTCATTACCCCTAATAATGGTTGGTCATTGACCCATGTTTCAAGGGTCAGAAGGAGACTCCAGATAGTTGAAGCGGGAGCACTGGGAGAAGGACGCCGCGCGCCTGGTCGTGCGCGGGACAAGTCCAGTATAGTGGCTGTGTGCTGCGGCAACACCCGGCGGTCCTGAGATACAAAGAGGGCGCTCAGCCGGAAATGCCCGGTTTGGCCAAGGGGCTTCCCATGAAAAACACGCGAATTCATGGGTGGTTTTGGGATGTCCATGTAATTCAGGAGAATCGGAGTAATCTTGGTCAACACACAACCCTGAATCTATGATATTACTCTGGTCAACCATCATTTTAGTCCAGGGCAAAGATGCAAATATGTATCAAATGTTGACTCAAGTATGGGTATAAGTTGCAGCCCAACCAAAACATGTTTGATTTTGTTCAACCCTAGGACCTCGTTCACGTGGAAAGCTGTATCCGCCAACCATTCTTGAACTCCAAAGCCCGTTACAACCGTCTTTCCATGGCGGCTGCTCTCGCAAGTCCACTTGCCGTTTAAGATGTTTGATGGAGAACCGCTGCCGCAAATGGGTCGCAGCTGCCGCTGTGGAGACATGAAGGCTGCCTACCTCCCAGGTTCTAACAACCTTTTCTCGGAAACAGGGACCTTCGGCGTTCTCATCCAGACCCGAGCTCAAAACACTCTAGGAGCCTTAGATTGAAGGTTTTGAATCATTTGGCCGTGTGTCCAAAATAAGCCCGAAATGGACTCCTAGATGGAAACTTGGACTAAAAATTGCAGTCCTGCTGGATTCATTGCGACCCATGCCAAGCAGCCCGTGGCTTGCGCTCGTCAGGAGTCTCCTTGCGACACGTCTGCGGCAACGAAACGGTTTTTACGGCAGGACAAAGCATATTCGGCCCGGTTGAGCAACTGCCGCGCTTCCCCAGCCCAAATGGCCTAGGCTCAACATCCTATCAGGACCCGTTTGGGTAGACTCCTTGAGGGCCAACAATTCAGATCCGAATGTTTAAAGTCAAACTCCCGTAGGTAGTTAGGAACCCAAATGAACCAATTCAGTTGTGGCGGCTGAATAATACGATTCCTAAAGTTGAAAGCTGAAATGGTGTTGCTCAAATTCTGAAGGGGGGGCAGGGGGTCTGGGTTGATGTACAAAGGGAAGCCAAGGGAATCCAGCTATAATATAAGGAGTGCATCATTTTAGGAAACCGACAAGCCATCTGGGAGAGGTGTCATCTTGACTCCTACTTCTAACAAGCCAAGGTACCTGCTTGCCAAAGGAGGCGTCCGAGAGGTGGCTGTCCTGAGTTCACCAGGTTGTGTTCCTGAAGAAACACCCACGACTCGCCAAACTACTCAAGAAGCTCGTGTGCTTGTGTTATGACTTTTATGATTACAATACTGGCGCTTCTCAAAAAACAAAACTGGTCCATTTCCTCCAATGACCAACGGTGTCCTTTTCGTTTCCTTTTGGTCTCCTTTTGGTCTCCGAATCCCCTTCTGAGAAACTCTATCAGCAACATGTTCAAAGTGGTGCTTCTGCATCGCAGAAAGTCGAGAAGCAACTCGGCGCGGCGGGTCTGCTTTCTCAAGGTGGTCCTGGCAAGTTTGGTCAAAGGGTAGAGCCTGAAAACAATGCGTCAAACGGTTTCTTTAAACAAAACAAACCAAACAACTGAAATCCGGCTTTCAGCAAGGGTATATGGGGTGGTTGGGGGCAGCTTTCAGGGAGAGTTCCGGAGGGTTGGGAATACCACCGCTGGTGCTTCTTCTCAGACAGCAGCTATAGGGCCAATCTGCCACCCCACCAAGAGAAAACTCGGCCATGGACCCAAAATTGATGTTGAAACCTGCGGAAACAGTGAAACCTACTTGGGTGTTTAAGTCTAGTAAGTAGGTTGTAACCGTGTTTTGTAAGGGAGCTCACCCCAGTTCCCCCACTAGCCAAGTCAAATTAAGGGACTGCAACAAGTGGGCTGATCCGCCTTCCTCTCCTCAAAGACCACGTCCTCCTGCGGGATTTGGAGACGCACATCTCAAAATCAGCCCCTCAAGATGGCTGGTGTCCTTTGGTCCCATTACCACCTGGAGTCTCCGGATCTGACCCGAAATAAAAATGGGTCAATGACCAACCATGATTTGGGGTAATGACCAACCCTTTTTGAAGGGTCAGATCCGGAGACTCCAGGCAAGGGTTTCCCCCTTTTTGGAAGCCACGCCTGCACCTCAGCGGGGTTTGACATGGCGCTTGGCACCCCGGGGGCCCAAACTAATGTCCAGGGAGCTCTGCCAGGATTGGTGCCACTGAGCAACTGGGTTCCGTATTCCAAGGTTGGCTCAAAGGGGTGGTTGATTTCCCAAGGGAATTGGTTCGAGTTTATCTTAGGGTGTTCAACAAACAGAAGCCACACAGGAAACAAACTTATGGTCTGATTCTGTTTGTATTACCTCTACTCCAAGGCATTTCTCAGCCCGGTGGTATCCCAAAAGACCCGGAACCTGTCCGGGACCCTCCCTGAAAGCTGTTCCGACTCAGAGACCAACCATACCGTGGATGGGCGAATTTCTGCACCACCTAAGAAACCCCGGTTTCTGATGATTCCCCTGCAAATACAAACTAACGTTATGGTTCCCATGGTTTCCTTTCGTGGTGCGAAATGGATTTCGCAACCATCCACAGCAGCCTTAGGCTGTTGGGAAAAACAAATTGGAGGCCGTAGCTGCTGGAAGGGTCTGTCGAATTCTGATCTGGCCCGCGCTCGCCTGCGACAACAGGCGCAGCCGTGCGCCTCTCGGGAAAATGCGGACCTGACGGCAACCAGAAATGCTTGACACGTTGGTCAAATGGGTGTGTCTTTTTGTACGTAGTGGACCCCCAAACTGGATTTCGGTTTGTTGTGGTGTCAAATCTAAAACCATCCAAAAAGGGGTACCCCCAGAAAGACACACCCAAATCTGCACTTCCACCGGCTTTGAATATGGCTCACCTCCTTTGCGATAGATCTTTGTCGTGTGTGAACTGATTGGCATCCTTTTCCGAGGTGCAGGGCCTCCTTTTTGATTCGGGGGATTCCAGACCCTCTTGGCGGACACTTGGAGCTAAGAAACAAATGTTGCGTCGCCTCTTCACTGCACCTGAAGAAGAGGGTCACATCGACAGTTGCAACCTCGGACCAAGGAAAAAGACAGAATTTGCCGATCGAAGTTCATTCCTATCCGAGCCTGGAACCTAAAGAAGCACTGGACCAGAGTCTCTGTTTGGGGGTCTCCGTTTGGATCCGAAAGCGGGTAAACAATGGCAATTTGGAGGAGTGTGAGCCTCTTCGACACAGGGTTGCGCAGCTTTCACACCTGGTTGGCCAAACAAACAAACTGGGTCCAACGTGGAGTCTCCACGACACTCAAAAAATGGTTGTTCATTACCAAACAACATGCTTGGTCATTGACCCATTTTTAACGGGTCATGGAGACTCCAGGTACCCCCCCAAAAAAAGAAACGAAGGAATCTAAGTGGTTTTCCTGTTGGTCTCCCTTTAAACCCACCACACAAAGGTGGTACAATCGCTGCAATCCTCTTGGAGGAAATCGGAAGCCCTCGCTGAGCTGTGGGCATTCCGACTGGCGTCGCCCCTGGCGTGCGGTCGATTGGCTCGATTGGCTCGAACATTGAAAAGCACGGTGGGTCTGACATGGTGCACTCTTCCAGTGCTTCCAGTTAGTAGCTAGGTCTTGCAGAATGGTTCTCCTTGGTCACCTGCCATAGTGGGAACTGCATGCAAGCCCGTGCCTTTTCAACCAACGTTCTTTTCGAAAAACAACCCATTGCCTGGTGGCTTCGTTGTTTGGAAAGAAGGCTTCTAAGAAGGGAAGCTACCACTAGAGCACGCAGAGTTGGGTGAAAATCGATGACACAACTCGCCCATTTTGTTTCATCCTTCCCCCTTACCGATGTTTCACTCAGGGGAAATGCCAGGGATATCCACTGGCAACCGTCAGGAAGCACCTGATGAGGTTCTCAAAGTCGGTCAGGACGATCTTCGTGACCTCGTCTCGAATGCTGCTCAATCAACGCAATTGTGATCTGGGCAAAAGGCAACAAATCACAGACTGAAAGCAAGCGAACCTTCTGAAAGGAATCTTTATCTTGGAAGACGTCCCCCACCCCCCCACCCACCCACCCACCCACCACCCCACCCGATAGGTATATTATGTTGGCACGGGTGCAACCATCAGTCAAATCTATCTCCTGAAAAGGTGTCGGTTTTTCTGATGACCTTTCTCTTTCAATCCAAAGATTGCAAACCTGCGACCCCCTTCTGATCCCAAGAGGGGGATTCGAATCACCCCCCCCCATTTTGCCACACAACCGGTCGACTCTCCAAGGCCCTCGGGCCACTTTCAATGAAGCCGTCGGATCCACGTCCGTCTGCACAGGCGAGGTGAAGAAGGGCGACACCCAAGCCTGCCAGGGTCCATTTGGACAGCTCATGGGATTTGGAAGCAACAAACTGAGCTTCTCTTGCCCAGTGGATCCCAGTTACCAGTATAGTAGGCAACTAGTTTCTTGTATTTCCCTTTTGGCGTTCAAGGGTGGTTCCCATGGTGACCTACTACAGGTAAATGGATTTACTGGATTGAACCCGGCAGAAGTGGCGTTTCTTTGGTTTGCCTTATGGGAGTTGGGACCAACATTTGGTTGTGGGTTCCCCTAGTTTCTTCCTGCCTGAAACGAGGCAACAAAAAAACAAAAACAAAAACGGCTCAAGCAGGGCAACAAATGCCAAAATCCCTGGCCGCAGCCCACCACCCTCTGATTGACTGGCGTTTTTTTGGCCCCCTCCTCCACGCGATGTGCTTCATAGATCAGAAAGGCCGGCAGTACAAATGCGCGGCCGCCTGGGTGTGGCCAAAAACGCTCCCATCGACCCACAAAGACAGAGACACAGCCATAGGTGTCCTTTTAGGGGAAATAGATGGGTTTCCCTGGTAGATTGTTAAACCGGGGAATGCTTGTTTTTGTCCTGGGCCGGAGCCGGGCCGGAGCCGGGCCGGAGTCACTGCCGGCCGGAAGTCGGGCCAGAGTCAGAGCGGGCCGGAAGCGGGAGCTGAGTCTGGGCCGGAGCCGGGGCCGGGCCGGAGCCGGGCCAAGGCGGAGCGGAGTGAGCGCCAGAGCCGGGCCAGAGCGGAGCGGAGTGAGCGCCAAAGCCGGGCCGGAGCCGGGCCGGAGCGGAGCCGGGCCGGAGCCGGGCCGGAGCCGGGCCAGAGTCAGAGCGGGGCGGAAGCGGGGCCGGGCCGGAGCCGGGCCAGAGCGGAACGGAGCGAGCGCCAGCCGGGCCGGAGCCGGGCCAGTGTGAGATGGCGGACGGCCGGCGCTACCTGCTCCAGCTACGTGGCCACCTACGCTCCGAAGTTCAGAGCCGGCCGGAGCGGGAGTTGGAGCCGGAGCCGGGCCGGAGCTGTGGAGTGAGAGCCAAAGCCTGGCCAGAGTGGTTGGAGCCGCCGGACGAAGCCAGCCAGCCAGCCAGAGTGGGACGGGTCGGAGCCGGTTGGAGCTGCAGCCTGGACTGGGCGGAGCGAGAGACGGAGACGTGGAGCCAGCCAGCCAGAGCCCCGGAGCTGGCGAAACTTCAATTGTTGTCCATACTGTGTATATTCCAATCCCTAAACTTTAAGAAGCACACACACACGAACACATAATGTTGCTTTTTTGTATGTATGTATGTTTGTATGTTTGTATGTTTGTATGTTTGTATGTTTGTATGTTTGTATGTATGTATGTATGTATGTATGTATGTATGTATGTATGTATGTATGTATGTATGTATGTATGTATTTTTGTATGTATGTATATTTGTATGTAATGTATGTGTGTATGTGTGTATGTGTGTATGTGTGTATGTATGTATGTATGTATGTATGTATGTATGTATGTATGTAACGCATGTATGTAATGCATGTATGTAATGTATGTAGGTATGGATGTATGTATGTACGGATGTATGTATGGATGTATGTGTGGATGTATGTATGTAATGTATGTATGTATGTATGTAAGTATGTAATGTAACGTAACGTAACGTAATGTACTGTCATGTAGTGTAATGTATGTGTGCAATGTATGTCATGTATGCATGCATGCATGTATGTATGTATGGTATGTAATGTATGTATGTATGTAATGTAATGTAATGTAGTAATGTAATGTAATGTAATGTATGTATGTGCGTATGTATGTATGTATGTATGTACTGTGTGTATGTAAAGTAATGTAATGTAATGTAACGAAATGTAATGTAATGTAATGTAGTGTATGTATGTATGTGTGTGTTCGTATGTATGTATGTATGTATGTATGAATGGTATGTATGTATGCATGTATGCAATGTATGTATGTATGTATGTATATATGTATGTATGTATGTATGTAACGCATGTATGTAATGCATGTATGTAATGTATGTAGGTATGGATGTATGTATGTATGGATGTATGTACGTAATGTATGTATGTAAGTATGTAAGTATGTAATGTACCGTAGAGTAACGTAATGTAATGTCATGTAATGTAATGTAATGTATGTATGTAATGTATGTCATGTATGCATGCATGTAAGTATGGTATGTATGTATTGTATGTAATGCATGTATGTATGTATGTAATGTAATGTCATGTAATGTAATGTAATGTATGTATGTGCGTATGCGTGTATGTATGTAGTGTATGTATGTAATGTATGTATGTATGTATGAATGGTATGTATGTATGCATGTATGTAGTGTATGTATGTATGTATGTATGTATGTGTATGTATGTATGTATGTATGTATGTAATGCGTGTATGTATGTATGTATGTATGTGCGCATGTGTGTAATGTATGTATGTAATGTACTGTAATGTATTGTAATGTATGTATGTATGTATGTAACGCATGTATGTAATGTATGGAATCGTAATGTAATGCAATGTATGTATTGTATGTAATGTATGTATCTATGTATGTATGTAGTGTAGGTATGTATGTATGTAATGCGTGTTTGTATGTATGTATGTATGTATGTACGCATGTATGTAATGTATGTATGTATGTATGCAAGTATGTATGTATGTGAGTATGTATGTATGTAACGTAACGTAATGTAACGTAACGTAATGTAATGTATGTATGAATGAATTAAGGTAATGAAAGTATGTATGTACGTATGTAAGTATGTATGTATGTTTGGAATGTAATGTCATGTAATGTAATGTTATGTAGTGTAGTGTAGTGTAATGCGATGCAATGTATGTATGTATGAGTGTATGTAATGTCATGTGATGTGGTGTAATGTAATGTATGTGTGTTTCTATGTGCGTTTCTATGTAGGTATGTATGCAATGCAAGTAATGTAATGTAATGTACTGTCGGCATGCATGTATGTATGTATGTATGTATGTTATGTATGAATGTTTGTATGTGTGTGTTCGTATGTATGCAACGTATTCATGTATGTATGTATGTACTATCTTGTATTGTATTGCATTGTTTTGTATTGTCTTGTCTTGTATTTGTATGTATGTATGTGTGTGTATGTATGTAATGTATGTATGTAATGTATATATGTAGTGTAACGTAATATAATGCTATGTGCCGTAATGTAGTGTCGTGTAGTGCAATATATGTATGTATGTCCTTTTCTTCCTATGCATGTATGTATGTATGTATGTAACGCATGTATGTAATGCACGTATGTAATGTATGTATGTATGTATGTATGTATGCATGGATGGATGTATGTATGTAAGGATGTATGAATGGATGGATGTATGTATGTAATGTGTGTATGTAAGTATGTAAGTATGTAATGTAACGTAACGTAACGTAATGTAATGTCATGTAATGTACTGTATGTAATGTATGTCATGTATGCATGCATGCATGAATGTATGTATGTATGTATGGTATGTATTGTATGTAGGTATGTATGTATGTATGTAATGTAATGTATGTGTGTGCGTATGTATGTCTGTAGTTGAATGTATGTATGTATGTATGTATGTATGTATGTACGCATGTAATGTGTGTATTAAAAGTAATGTAACGTAATGTAACGAAATGTGCTGTAATGTAATGTAGAGTGTGTATGTATGTATGTATGGATGTATGTATGTATGGATGTATGCATGTATGTAATGTATGTATGTACGTATGTGTGTATGTATGTGTGTGTATGTAAGTAAGTATGTATGTATGTGTGCATGTGTGTGTATGCATGTATGTAATGTGTGTATGTACGTATGTGCGCATGTATATAATGTGTGTATGTATGTATGTAATGTATGTATGTAATGTAATGTAAGGTAATGTAATGTAATGTAAAGTAATGTAATGTACTGTAATGTGTGTAATGTGATGTAATGCAATGTTATGCAATATAATGTATGCATCTATGTATGTATGTAATGTATGTATGTAAGTATGTATGTATGTATCTAATGTGTGTTTGTATGTATGTATGTATGTACGCATGTATGTAATGTATGTATGTAATGCATGTATGTAATGTATGTGTGTATGTATGGATGTATGTATGTATATATGGATGTATGTATGGATGTATGTATGGATGTATGTATGGATGTATGTATGTAATGTATGTATGTAACTATGTAAGTATGTAATGTAACGTAACTGTATGTAATGTAACGTGATGTATGTATGTATGTATGTAGTGAAACTATGTATGTACGTATGTATGTGTGTAAGGTGTGTAATGTCATGTAATGTAATGTAGTGTAGTGGTGTAATGCAATGCAATGTATGTATGTATGAATGTATGTAATGTAATGTGATGTAATGTAATGTGATGAAATGTTCTGAAGTGTGATGCAGTGCAGTGCAATGCAATGTAAAGTAATGTATTGCAATTTGACGTAGTGTAATGTATGTATGCATGTATGTACACATGTGTGTTTCTATGTACGTTTGTATGTATGTATGTATGCAATGTATGTCATGTAATGTAATGTAATGTACTGTCGGCATGCATGTATGTATGTATGTTATGTATGCATGTTTGTATGTGTGTTCGTATGTATGCAAAGTATTCATGTATGTATGTATGTACTGTATTGTATTGTATTGCATTGTTTTGTATTGTCTTGTATCGTATTTGTATGTATGTATGTGTGTGGGTATGTATGTAATCTACGTGTGTAATGTAAATATGTAATGTTGCGTAGTGTAATGCAATGTAATGTAATGTAGTGCCGTGTAGTGTAGTATATGTCTGTATGTGTTGTTCTTCCTATGCATATGTATATGTATGTATGTATGTATGTATGTGTGTAATGTATGTATGCATGCATGTATGTAATGTGTGTGTGATGTATGCATGGATCTGTGTGTGCATTTATGTATGTATGTATGTATGTATGTAATGTGCGTACTGTATGTATGTATGCATGCATGCATTCATGCATGTGTACATGTATGTATGTAATTTAATGTCATGACATGTAATGTAATGCAATGTAATGTAATGTAACGTACGTATGTGTGTGTGTACGTATGTACGTATGTATGTATGTATGTCTGTATGCATGTATGTGTGTCACTATGAAATATATGTATGTATGCATGTATGTAAAAATGTATGTATGTATGTATGTAATTATGTAGTGTTGTGTATGTATGTATGTATGTAGTTATGTAATGTGTGTCTGTATGTATGTAATGTAACATAATGGAATGTAATGAAATTTAATGTACTGCATTGTGTTGTAATGTAATGTATGTGTGTACCTAATTCTGTAATGTATGTTTTATGTACTGTTGTAATGTATGTATGTATGTAATTATGTAATGTGTAGATGTACGTACATATGTACATATGTATTTGTGTATTGTGTAAAGTAATGTAATGTAACCTAATGTAGTGTAGTGTAACGTATGTATGTATGTAATGTATGTATGTCATGTATGTATGTATGTATGTAATGTATGTATGTCATGTATGTATGTATGTAATGTAACATAATGTAATGTAATGTAATGTCATGTCATGTCATGTCATGTAATATGTATGTATATATGTTGGTATGTATGTGGCCATGTATTTTTTGTGTGATGTAATGTGTTGCAATAAAACGTAATGCAATGTAATGTGATGCAATGTAATGTAATGTAAGGTACTGTGCTGTAATGTAAAGTATGTCTGGAATGTAATGCAGTGTAATGGAACGGAGCGCAATGGAACGGAATGGAATGTAATGTATGCATGTGTGCGTGTGTGTGTGCATGCATGCATGAAGTTGTGTATGTATGCATACATGCATGTATGCATGTATGCATGTATGTGTGTATGTGTGTTTGCATGTATGTGTGTATGTTTGTATGTACGTATGTACGTACGCACGCACGTACGCAAGCCGCCAAGACAGATTGCGCTAAGCCCTCTCCAAACGAGGCCTCACATCGCCCGCATCTTGCTCTTACATGCGACTTCCAGCGCAACAAATACTGCGACGCAGCCGTTGCATCTCAAGATGCGCGCCGTTGCCGCGCGCGACTCTCTCTTGCCCCCGGATATAGTTTTCTCTGGTTCCTTTGAGCGTTCCGTTTGCTAGCGGCGTGTTACCCGCACGCTCGTCCGCGGCCGGCTCATTCCGCGCATTCTGGATCGCTTTTTGCGATTTTCTTTTAGACCTGCCTCCGCTTGCGTTGGCCTGTCCTAGGCCTAATCAAAGGGTAGGCCTGCCGACCCTTTGCGCGTAGCTCTCTTCAAGGCCTCTGTCGAACCCCTATCACGTAGCCCTCTTCTGGGCTGGAGCCCTGTCTGTGGGCCTGCTCTTGGCCTGCTGTAGGACCAACGTAGAATTTTGTCTAGTGTCTACCGAAGGCCTACGAAACCCCATCCCTTCGGCCTTGGCAAAGGCCAACGTCCTGGCCTACACCCTACCCAAGGCCTACGCGCCTCTCTGCTTACGCCCTCTCAAAGGCCTGCCAACCCCCTTGCCTGGACCCTACAACAGGCCTATGCACAGCCTTTTTCTCGGGAGATCTATGCCTGCTGGTGACATTCTATTTTTCGCGCTTGAGACTGGAGTGTGTCTCGCTTGCAACAGTATCAATCTTGGTTACACAAGCCCTCCGGGCCAGAGCCGGGCCGGAGCCGAGCCGGAGCCGTGCCGGAGACGGAGCCGGAGCCGGAGCCGGAGAAGGAGCCGGAGACGGGCCGGAGCCGGAGCCGGAGCCGGAGCCGGAGAAGGAGCCGGAGACGGGCCGGAGCCGGGCCGGAGCCGGAGCCGGAGCCGGAGCCGGAGAAGGAGACGGGCCGGAGCCGCGCCGGAGCAAGAGATGGGCCGGAGCCGGGCCGGAGCCGGAGAGCCGGAGACGAAAAAAAGCTATAGTGTGTTAAACCAGGTAAACCAGGAATCGAAACCCATCTATTTGTCTACCAAAGCAATCAAAAAGGACACCTATGGGCACGGCATTTCTTTGTTCTCAACTTTCTGCCGAAAGGTATGGCCCCGTTGGCCATCAACACCTCGAGGGCAAACCAAAGAAATTCGGTGCCGATTGGAGGAGCTGACAGCTGGTGCTTTGCAAGCTGAAGAAATTAGCGAAACGGCAGCCGAACAGCTTTGGTTCAATGGGGCACACCCCCCTTTTAAGATGGTGCTCAAAGGCAAAGCAAAGCAACCATTTCCGTGTTTTTTGCCCCCCGCCCCCCCCCCCCCCCCCCCTCCACCAAAAACAACAACAAACATGGAAACACTTTCATGAACCCAAACCTGGGAATCCCCTTGCGAGCCAATCGACCACCCGAACCACCCTTCGTTTCCTCCTTCGAGGACCACCAAATCGTTCGTGTTCCAGATCACCATTTAATCTCGGTTGCTTTCTGCTCTGCTAAAAGTTTAACCCATTAGTTGGCAACAAACAAGTCCTAGCATCCAAGCAAAGTGCACCAAAGATTTTGAGAACCCAAAGGCAGCTCTGAGGCGCGCACCGTCGATCCATCCCGCCACCTTCCGCAACTCTTGGAAGGCTTTCACGGGGCCGTCGCCCCCCTGCGCGCGCAAGGCGCGGTGGAAAAACCAAGACCTGTCGAGTTTCCCTCTGCTTGGGTGTCCTTGGCGTTTCCTTGAAGCTTCCTGGGGGGTCTAGGGCCTGAAACTGGGCGCCTCATTCTTGGGGTCTACAGGGGGCCAAGACCAGACCCCTACCTTTAAGAGGCCGGGGGGGTTGGGGGGGTCCCAATCCATTGCGCTAGTCAATAGGAAACAAATTCACCCCCTTCCCCCATTTCCCTCCAATCCCTTTGCGGGGGTTCGAGACCTGGGATTCAAGAAACTCGGAAAGGGAACCGGTGGAGGTTCACTATCGGTTGTATCCAGAGCTACCTGGAGTCTCCGGATCTGACCCGAAATAAAAATGGGTCAATGACCAACCATTATTTTGGGGTAATGACCAACCTTGTTGGTGACACGCCCCACCGGACCCGTGGAGGCGTTTCTTTTTGGAGGGTGGGGGGGGGGGGATGACAGCGACCATGTCCATGTGGAGGCGTTTCTTTTTTGAGGGGTGGGGGGGGGGGGGGGATGACAGCGACCATGACCATGTTGCCAGACCCGGCAGGCGCGGCTTTGGTGTCTTCTGCGTGTGGCGGGGGGGGAAGAGGCGGGCGAACTGCGCCCCCGCAGGCACGAGTTTGGCTGGAGCAGGGCATGTGGCATGTGGCAAGCGGAGTGATGGGCACTTCAAAAGCAAACCGCATGAATACACACACAAACATCCCATCCAACAACAACAACAACGTCAACAACAACAACACACGCACGTCCTTACTTTCGCACTTCGTTGGGCACCCATGGAGTCGGTCTTGGAGCCAGTCGCACTGCTTATTCTGCTACGCCTGGCACGGGTGTCGTTGCCTCCTGGTTTGGATGGCTGGCGGGCACGCAGCAGATTGATCGCTGCTGGCATCACTTGAAAAATATCATGCCCAGTGAGATGAAGAGCCGCGGTCCCAGCGGCCTGATCAACAGTCGCCTGTGGACGAGAGCATACCAATTCTTGTATAGACGGTCTTTGTGTGCCTGACATATTAAACATGTGGTCTCTGTGGCAAAGAGATAAAACAAGCAGTGCCCGATGCCAGCATGTCAATGCATGAAAGCTGCTGTTAGATACAAACGAACTTTTTGGCACCTTGCGGCATGCTCCTTCAGCAGATTTGAATGGTAAACGCGCGTTTTTGCGCGGGTCCTGCTGAGCGTGCGACCATGTTTTCAGGGTCATGGAGACTCCAGAACTATAAATGAACTAACCTTCGTTGTCCCACAAGTTACTATGGTGGTAAGGTAACATGTTATAACTTCACCTACTAAGCAATTAACTTGAAGCAGGATATCTTCAGCTGGTTCGGTGATGGACCGCTCCCAACAGAGAAACAAAAACCTAGCGGCGACCACACATCTGAGACCGCGGCCACATACACGCCATCCTTGTTGTTGCTCTCGAAGGACCACGACTTGGGCGTGCATCTTCAACACCAGGATTCAATACATGTGGGTGTCTCCAAATAGTTTTTTTTAAGTCTGCACCCCCCCCCCCCCCTCCCCCAGTAATTTGGCTCCCCATCAAAAACAACCCCAAAACGGGTACCCTCAACAAAAGGCACACCTATGTCTACCGCAGCATTTGAGTGGACCAAACTGCAACATACCCACCAACTGTTAGCTCAGATGAGGCATTGCCTTGGCGGCGCAAATGAGGCTGACCCCCGAAAATTGCGCCAAGTGGCCATGCGCAAATGGACGCGAACCCAATCTTCCGAGTCCAAGAGCTTGGTCAAGTCGTTGGACTTGTTGATCTCAACGCTCTCCTTGACCCGCACGAGTGCTGCATGCCTCCGCACAGGCAACGATCATCGATGGGCAGCGCCTACATGGGCTGACCCACGCAAAGAGCATCTTTCAGCAGTGAGCGCGGCTCCGATCATTGAAAAACACACACACACACACAGAGACACACGCACGGCGCACGGACACCTGCACGGCTAAACCAAGCTGCCCCTTGACCGAAGCGATGCCAATCTTCAGCTTGAACTCTGCAGCCTGAGCGCATGGACAAACAACGCGTGGCCGCTTCACAGTGCAACTAGTGAAGGCGGTAGAATGAGGGAACTTTTTCGAGGTCGATTCCATTTGTGCGGAGCCCACCCAGCATGGGGTGCCACCGAACAAAGGAATCATTGAATCTGCAAAATAAAAAGGCACAACGTGATACAAACATGACAGAGCAATGTCACCTGCCCAAAGTAAAAGGTCTTGTGGTCTTAACCCTTTGCAACAGTGAGGTTGCTCTTCCCCCCCTTCCCCCGTGGAGCAAAAGGCCTAGCCTTTGGTTTAATGGAAAAGCCGTTTGTTCCAAAAAGATCTACAAGGCTCTAAGGGGCGATTCGGTCACACACAAAAGACCAGCCATGAAATAGGCCACCGGAAAACCAAAAGGTCAGACCTCCCTTCATTTTGGTCAGAGCTCCCTTCATTTGGAAGCGGCAACTCTGTCCAAAACACCAGGATTGTCCAGGGTGCCATCCTCTGCTCAAACATGTTTCAGACATGGTTCCCTTTTCTTCTCCAAAGCGGGTCAGGGTCTGGCCATTTCAACCTCGTTGATCTGTTCTGGGGGCAACCGGAAAAAGGGAAGCCTCAACTTCCATTTGGCTACCCCTGGACAAATATTTCCAGTGATAGATTCCCTTCAAAACCAACAGGGGAAAATAAAACCCGTGCCTGCTTCAAAACCAACCAGGAAAAAAACCACAGTGGGAAAATAAAATCTCAAGATTTCTCAAGCAAGTGGAAGCCTCCAGAAAACCGCCCCGTCCCGGAGTCCCGGCCGCGGGTCCCGCCTGCTTCTGCACGGCGGCGGTCTGTGCCACCGTGACGCCCATGGGGCCCATGAAGTACGCGGAGCCATGGGACAACTCGAGGATGTTGCCTTCAATTCAACGGGTAGCTTCCATTTCCATTCTGAACCCAGGGATCCGAATCTTTCAAAAAAAAAAACCACCCAACAGCCCGGGGGAAGCAGCTGGTGTTGAGAAGAACGATGGTTGAAGAGAATGGAGAATCAACCCTAGATCAATGGGAACAGCGTTGCTTTGTTTGGAGTTGGTACCCATCTTTTTTTGTGGTTTTAAAGGGACAACGAAAAGGGAAAACACACCTCTCTCTCTCTCTCTCTCTTTTTTGGGGGGTCCCCTGAAAAACGACACCCCCAAATAGGAACACTGGAATACTCAAGCCCTGCGTGGGTGTTCGCCCAAGCAAGTTGTTGGTAACCTTGGTCATAACCCACTTACAAGTCCCCGTTCAGTGAGTTAACCTTGTTCTTTCTGGGTTATAACCCAGGTGTGATTTGTCAGACCACTATTGGGGGGAGACCCTATTAACTCATAGCACGGGCGGAAAAAAGCCGGGCCATACTCATGAGTGCGTTTGGAGTGTAAAGGGAGGGGTCCAAGCTGTGAGTCATTGCATTCATGGATGGATGAACAGCACAAAAGGCACTAGGGATGGATGATATGAATACTGGTTGATGAACCAACTAACCAGAGTTGTGGGCACATGCTGTTCATGGACAATTGGCTGTCAATTCCCGCCAACGATACCCTGGTACGCAAACCTGCTTGGATGTTCGGCTAAGTTAGCATCTGGTTGGCCACCTGCGTTATACCCGGCTGATAACAAGGTTAACCTCACGTAGGGGCACGAAAAACGTGCGTTGTATCCAAGGTTCCCAACAAGTTGCTAATTTGGCCGAACACCCGAGTAGGGATCCAATTGTCAAAGGCCCTGAAACTTTCCCTCAACCTGTTGAAGGTCCAAATGGAAGCTTCCGAGGGGTGTTGATTGTAGGGTTCTGAAAAAACCCTCAGCTACAGTACTAGGACCGGCGGGAGCCCGCAACTACTACGAACCAAAGCCTGGTCGTAGGGGGTTTTTCCAATGATTGGGATTGAATGTGTTTCCTGAATACCACGGCCGAACAGCAGCCAAGAACGACCTTCTTTCAGCTTGCCAGTTAGTCAGATCTCGGAGCGAACGAACATGGAAAAGGGCATCCGAGCGAGAGCCCATGGACTTTTGGTTCTACCCAAATGGTTTGACAGATTATGCAGCCCGCACGATACCCTTCTTTTGTTTACAGTGAATACTCTGGCCGTCCGGGATTTGGCTGCTGCTCAAGGGAAACAGCCATCTTACGCTGCTCAGATTGCGTGAACCTTCCACCTAAATGCGTGCTCATATCAAACGGTGGCAATGAGGCAGACTTGTGAGTGGTCGTCCAGGTAAAGAAGGAAAAACATGACCGCATCAGCAAACAAAGCAACCCTTACCAAAACACTGCCATGGAAGCTGAGTGCAGGCCCCCCCCTGAAACAATGCTAGTCTAATTATATCCACTCATTTGCAATTGGGTTGCTCGGTCCCAAGAGTTATTGGGCCATGGGCTTCGGAAACGAGAGCCTCGGTAGAAATGCGTCTTGTCCATCACCCCCTGCAATTGTGGCGCCACCGTCCTGAGGGTAGCTCTGGTGCGAATTCGAGGCCAAAGCCGCATCGCACCCAACGATCGCATGGGTTGGGCTGGGCATGGGAAGGATTGCGGGCTGGACGAAGTCAGCTTGGGCTTGACTGGACTGGAGCTGGGCGCGCCAGGAGCTTCAGGCTCTTGGATTCTGGATGAATTGTCATGAGGCCTGGAAAGAGGCCTGGTCTGTGAGGCAAAGAAGGCAAGGCTTCTGAACAGTTTAAGCCAACGCCCCCGACACCCACACATCTCCATTCACTCCGTCCAACACATACCTGCTACTAGGGATGGAGTTTAATTTCAATCTTGATGACATTTGTCCGCACTTGCGTTTTACCCAGCGGTCTGCTCGTGACCACCTGTGATAACTGTCTACTTTCTGAATCCCCACCAAGCACTTGGCGAGAGGAACCCCCGTAGCACCAAAACAGCTTCGACGCATGGACATTGGTACGGAGACAAAGGAAACCAAACCAATCTGCACCGTGATTTTGGCGATACCCTGAGCTCATATCTATTTCTTTCATCCCTATTGGCTTAGGGATGAAACGAATCTGGCTCCTTGCCCCAGCAAGGAGACCCTTTTGGGTTTGGATCAAAGGGAAACTAAAAGGAAAACCACAACTTTGGGGGGGGTGCCCTAGAGACACAGCACCCGTTTCATGGTTTGGTTTCGGCATGAGCCCTAACCACCGGCTCGCGTCGCTTGCGACTCGCCGACTCCGCTCCTCCGGAGGATGTAGCTCGGCACGTGGTCGGGCAAGGTGCCCAGCCAAAGCGGGGCAGCCCTGGCGCGAGTTGTTCGTGGGAATCGGACCCCATTTGGTTGGTATTAAAAGCGACGCCATAAGGAAACCCTCGCCATTACGGACCGAATCCTGATTTAAGAAACCAAAAAAAAACTCTTTTCTGTCAACACCTGATGAACTCCCCGCCCCCCATTTTTTTTTCAGTGGGGTTCCTGGTTAGTGGGTCACTGTGGAATGTGGCCATGGGTCAAAATCCTGTACCCCAGTGAACATCCCAATCCCCACTAAAATGGGTGGTGGGATCCCATTGGTTTTGACCCACAGCCATGTGTAAGTCGGGGTCATTTCATCATGAACTACTCGCCTCGGCCCACGGGAAGCGGTCAAACCTCTTTACTACGCAGGCGCGGTGGCCAATTCGGTTGGCCGACGACCTGCGCTTGAAGTTTCTGGCGCCCACTTCGCTCTGCCAGACTGCTTGGCCCAGCCCCTCTCTGGCTTGCATCGTTTTTCTTGGTTGATCCCTTCCCCTAATATATATATATTTTTATTTTTTTTTTAATAACTTTGTTTTTTATTAAACCCCAGGGGCCCGAAACTGAATCAGAAACGCCCAGATTGAAACCTCTATTAAACTCACAGTTAAGAGCCAACCAAAAGAAGCCGGCTGCTGCTGGCCGAGGCGGGCAGCCGGTCGAATTTGCATGCGCTGGGTCCCCAAGTACAGGACCTTCACCATTGACCATGGGTGTCTTGACTGCGCTCAAAGTGCGGAATTCAGTGGGCCCGAGTTCGTGTCGCTAAACAAAACACTTCCACATGGGTCCACAACCGGGGTCCTTCGGAAAAAGGGATGGGTTCCAATGATTAGAACAGTATACCAAGCTGAAATCAGTGAAACCAATCTTCAACCAAATGTACAGCAAGAGAGCCAACCACATCCAAGCAGTAACCCTGATAAATTGATGTAAAATGAGAGGGGTTCCCATGCACCTGGAGTCTCCTTCTGACCCTTTAAAAATAGGTCAAGACCAACCATTATTTTGGGTAATGACCCCATTTTTAAGGGTCATGGAGACTCCAGGCACTATACCGGACCCGGCCAGGCTGCTGGTCAAGGAGGGAGCCGGTTCAACGGATGCGAAGGAATCGAATCCAAGTGAGCAGGCCGACCTCATGCTCACAGGTTTGTGCTGCGCAGGCTTGCCATCCTCAGGGTCTTTTGAGGCTGCAAACACTTTGAAGGAAATCGGTGGCTCCAGGATTTGAAACCCACCCCGACCCGGGTCCAGCGGTTCTTTTTTTGGTTCCTTTGCAAACCTCAAACCTCAAGAAAGCAAAGGAACCAATCTCAGTCTTCGTTTGGAGGGGCCCTGGCGCTAGGGGCCGCATATGTTGAATGCAGCCTACGGCAAGGTCCTGATCTTCCACGTCTGCATCGTTTGTCTCCACCACGTACGGCTCCAGCTGTTCTTTTTCCTTCTTGTCCGGCCCTTCAAAGCCTGCAGCGCGACAAATTTAGCCTCTCTGTCTCTGTCTCTGTCTCTGTCTCTGTCTCTGTCTCTGTCTCTGTCTCTGTCTCTGTCTCTGTCTCTCTCTTTCTCTCTCTCTCTATCTCTCTCTATCTCTCTCTCTCTCTCTCTCTCTCTTCGGCATCGGGCAGCCGGTTCGCCATGGTCCAAATCAGCAAGCAATCCAGAAACAATGACTGCATGGTTCGATCAGCTCTCATCAATCAATACCTGCTCCTGATAGAATCATCGAACAACCAACCACTGCCATTCGGGAACACCACCCACTTCCACATACAACAACTGTCCAAGCTCCCGTAGCCCTATCATTAAGATTGCCGCTGGGAGGTTGGAAACATCAAAATCATTATTTAGTGAATATTAGCAAATGAAATAGGGAATGGGAATAGTGAATTAAAACAATTGCGAATGGACATAGTGAATGGGAATACTGAATGGGAATAGTGAATGGACATACGCCTAGAAACAGCAAAAAAACACTAACCTTCATTACATTTCACTAAATTTCACTAAATTTCACTAAATTTCACTAAATATCGCAAATGCAATTTAGTGAAAATTAGTGAAATTTAATGAAATTTAGCGAAACTAATTTAAACAAATGAAATTTTAGAAAGAGATTCACTAAATTTCACTAAATTTCATTAAATTTCACTAAATTTCACTAAATTTCGCAAATCCAATTTAGTGAAATTTAGTGAATCTCGTTCTAAATTTCATTGAATTTCACAATTTTCACTAAATTTCACAAAATTAAAATTCACTAAAATTCACTAAATTTCACTACATTGGGCTTGCGAATCTGCAAATCCATGTTTCCCAATTCACAATTTTGATTCACTAAATATTTCATTCACTATTTTGATTCACAAACTATTTCACTATATTTCACTAATTTAATTCAAAACATGTGTTTCAGTGTCTGCCTGGTCCGGCAATCTTAACCCTATCATTCAACAAACACATCTCCCCTGAAACAGGCCATGCGCCAAGCGTACTTATCGATATCAACAGCAGGCCACCCCACGAGACAAGACTCGGCACATCACATGAAAGCCATCCATAAGGCAAAGCCTCTCGGGAAAATGAAGCCAACTAAAACACACACACACACAATCACACAAGCGCGCCCTTCATCGGTTCCTCTGAGCCCCAAAACTCCGAGCTGCTTGCGTTCTTTCACCAAGGTGACTGACCGAGTGCGGATTCGAATCCCGGGGCGCCGGGCATGGGCAGGGCCAGCCGTACAAAGGGAAGGCTTTGCCTTGCAGCACCGCCATGCCTGCGAAAGGCTCCGTCCAGGACATCGAAGTCGCCCGCGCCAAAATTTGGGTGGGGTTTTGGGTTCAGGGTCCCGCAAAAAATGTTTGAAGCCCCCGTTACAATGCTCACTTTGTATAAAAGTGGTGGATGAAAGGGAAACAGAACCCCGCAAACAACCGAAAGAGTGGAAATCCAAAGAGTGGCACTATGAAGGTAGACAAGTCCCTGTCGAAGGGGTGAAACCCGGAGAAGTCCCCAGTGCTTTCAGTTGCCATTGTAGTAGGGAACCAAGGGAAACAATCATGTAAAATCTAGAGCTAAGACATCCTGGTTACGAACTAGCGGTAACTGGAAGCATTGGGTGATGTGAGTCGGAGACCTTTTCTGGGCGATGGCAACAGGAAACCAGCAGCCACGCGATTGGAGCAACCCCGGTTTTGAACGTGTTGATATCCAAATGCAGGCATGTTTGACGGGTGAAACATGTGCACTGCAAACAGTAGCTAGTCTCGATTTAGCGGGCATATGCGTTTCATTAGTGTACGATCCTACAGCAAATGATTCTATTCGATGATGCAGTAGTAGAAGAGCAACGAACCAAATGCCACTAGTCCCAGCATCAGCACCAGTTTTGGAATGCACTCGGTCACCGGGTCCATCAAAGTGCCATCCCTCACAGGCACGCTCATGGTGGTTCAAAGGGGTTAATAAACAGCATGGAACCAAGCTTACAAACAGTACACTCTACGTGTGTGGCTATTGCACCTTGGCCAAAGATCACATGAACTCCCAGCAGGCTCAGTCCGGCCCAAGGGACTCAACAAAAGGCTGACCTTTTTAAGGGCCATGACTAAAAATGGACCAAAAAGAGGAAACCCAAAAGGTCAGATCCGGTCGATTCGCTTCCGCGAAACTCGCCTGTGGAGGATGCGCCGGGGACCAGCTCCTCGGTGATCATACCTCAAACTTCGATCAACCCCACCCCCTGTTTTACACATGACTGAACATCCATTGCTTGAACAGACTCCTTTTAACTTCCACAATCAGCGTAAATATGTCATCTTCGAAACCTGTTCTCCCGAAATCCCAAACTCCCTCCGTGCCTGGCAGCGGATCTGTGAAGCCGTGCTCTCCCCCCGGATTCGCATAGCTCAGCTGAATGCTCTCCGCCTACGCGAGTCAACACGAGGCATCACTTGCGATCGGTGCGAGAGTTGCGGGGAATGAGAAACGGAATGACACAAGAAAAACCAGCCAACTGGTGGCTCCTGTAAGAGAATCCACAGGTTCATTCCCTCATTCCCCCTCTATACCTATCGCATCAGCAAAATCAGTGTGATGGAATGAATTTGAATTTGGACCGTTTGGTGGACATCATTTGCAAATGTGTGTCCACCATGCTGTTTGAGCTTTTGTCAGATAGGATGCCGGAATCCTTCTTGCACTTCCTGAAGTATACCTGCATAGTATAATATATATGTACATAGTCATGTAGAATCATATATGTATAAATACATACTATATATATATATATAAATGTATGACCAATACTGTCAAAGGCTAACCAAAACCAGCTAAAGCTCAGCGAGTGTTCTGAGGTCCACCTGCAGGGCTTCTTTGTCCCCTTTCAACACCACGCCAGGAGCAAAATATTGGGACCCACCTTGAAAGCCACTCTTTCAGGGAACGGGTTCCATGGGTTCTGGAAACCTAAAGGAAGCCAACCTTCCTGCAACTGGTCCCTACGAGCTCGCTCACCCCGCCTTACTCTCAATGGCACTGCTGGTGCTTATGCGGCTGGAGCGGCTGGTCTGCCTGTGGGAAGGGCAGGAAGCACGGCATGAAACCACGGTTGAAACCATAACGTTTGTTGGTATTTGCAGGGGAATCATCAGAAACCAGGGTTTCTTAAGTGGTGCAGGAGTTCGTGCATCCACAGTACCAACCAGTAAGCCGCATACATACTATGAAGAAAAATATATGGTCCCTCACCGGTTCCTTCAAGTTTACCCCAAATCATGATTCTTGATTTCTTGGTCTGGAGGTGTTTTTTGCTGGGCGCAAAAGAAGGGCAATGTGTTTGGGGTACCCTGGATTGCCCATCCATAACACGTGATATGCTGTAGGAGCTTGGATACCCTTTTCCCGTGCCAAAGGCCTAGTGGCATCCAAATCCACATTTGCCGCAAAACAAAATGGAGGTTTCTTTGATAACCCCGAGACATTGTCACAATACTGCTCCCAGATTATTGCACCAGTTGGCGTGAATTTCCACTGGGACAAACCGCCACTCCCGACGGGTTGGCGGGGATTTTAAGTCCATCGCCAAGAGACCCAAGCAAAGCTGCTCTTGCCCGTCGATCACACACAACGGAAGCGAAAAGGGCGATCACGCCTTTTTGGGGGTGTGCACCCATTTTGGAGCTGTTTGAAAGGGAAGCCAAAAGGAAACCGAAGCCCATTTTGGGGACAACACTATTTTGAGACATAGCCATTTGTTTCCAAAGCTGCACTGTGGGTCACAAGCCAGGCAACACGGTGCAGGCCCGGCCGTCCGAGCCCGCTCTGCGGCCGCCGATGCGTGCCTGACACGTGGTTTTACCTTACTCGCCCACTTGCCCACACCAGCTTCTGGGTTGCGGGGGTGATTGCGGTTCATTCTGCTCGACCATGTTTTTTAGAAACAATGCCCGGGGTTTCTGGAAACGAGGATCACTGGAAAGAATTCGGCATTTTCCCGAACTGCACCGAAACATAGCCCGATTGGGTGGGAATTTAACCCTGAAACTCAGTTTTGGTCATAAAAGCGAGCTGTTTTCTACTACACTCTTGCTAGACAGCCCACAACCCCGAAAGAGTCTTGCAATGCTTGGAAGCCCAGTGTTGTCTCAAAATAGGGAACCCCCTATGTTGGGTGGTGTCCTTTTGGCTTCCATTAAAAAACCCTTCAACAAAGGGGTCACTGGATTTCCCCTTCAAGGGTTGATCCATTGACATTGAAACTGCCACTGTTGGAGGTTCCAAAACAAAGACATAAAGGAAACTGTGTTTTGAACAACATGACATGTTGTTCAAAACAACGTGTCCTTCATGTCTTTTATTTGGAACCTCCAACAGTGGCAGTTTCAATGTCAACCACCAGTCAATGTACGAAAGAGTGGAGCTATAAGCGGCCTGCGCTCTCTGGCTCCAACCGGGACGTCCTGCGCGGTTTGTCCTTACGCGTCACTCTCGATCAGCCTGCCACTGCCTCAAATCATGTCACTTCTGAACATCTGAGTCATAATCAAAACCCGGTATTAAAATGGTCGACCCAGAACCATGCAACGAATGAAGAATAGGCGGCCGCAGCTATATATGGCTGGGATTGTCCCTTACTAACCTTCACTTACCCGGGCTTTGATTGTGACTCATCTGGCACTGTCAAATAGTATGAAGTTCTGTCACAAGAAATAGGCCCCTATCTGGAGAATAGATCAGGGACCACCAAGAAGCAACAAATCTCAATTACATCTGCGTGCGCTCATGCATAGGCCTGCAGGCAATGTGATTCCTCCTGGCAAGTCTCACTTCCTGAGTAGGTTGGCCCAACAAACTCAAACGATGCGTTTGCCGTCCATGTCGTCTTTTCAACAAGTACAACAAAGTGTTTGCCGTCAATGTCGTCTTTTCAAAAATAAAGTACGAAGTTCAGGGACTCCATGAAGCGAGCACATCAACTGAACAGCAATCAGCGCGCTCTCCTGAGACTTCAGCTTCAACCTTGCAGTCTGGGGCGTCCTGCAACGTGGCAGGGGAAAAGGGGGGCATCATGGGAGTGAAGGCATCAGTAGACCTTACAGCCCTTGGTCTGGTAGCAACAAGCTTTGTCTTTCGCAGCCCCTGCCCCACAAAAAAGGAACAGACACCGGAAAAAAAACACACACACACACACACACACACACTACAGTGAAGTAGAAGACAGCGACTGGTTGCCACCAGCGACTTCAGAACTGATCCATGCAAAAACAAGAACATGGTGGGTGGCTCGTCTTTCTTTATACCCTCAAAATGGCGCAATGGTGTTCCTCTCGGTTCTCCTTTCAAACCGCCAATCTCCTTCTGACCCTCATTTCCCAAAACAATGGTTGGTCATTGACCCATTTTTATTTCGGGTCAGAAGGAGACTCCAGGTACCCTCAAAAAAGCTTCGCCATCCCCGTGTTCACCATGAACCGACGCGATCGCGCCCGTTTACGCGCACGTGTCCATGCCCGCACGGGCGCGAGAGGTATGTGAAAGGAAGACTCGGGAATACTGTGGATGGTTGCGAAATCCGTTCGCACCACGACGAAATGAAACCACGGTTGAAACCATAATTATGTTTGTTGGTATTTTCAAGGGAATCATCAGAAACCAGGGCTTCTTTGGTGGTGCGAAATGGATTTCGTCCATCCACAGTATGTGTCAAAATAACATTGGAGTCCTTCGGTTTCCTTTAAACCAACCCATACCAACCCCAAAAAGGGCCCCCGCCATGCCTTCGGAAAAGCAAAAAAACCGCCAGCGAAAAACCGCGGCTCCTGGGCTTGATGAGCTCATCGTCCGCATCCCCCTTTCTGTAAGTGAGCCGCACCAAGAGGCAATGCTTCAAGTCGAAGTACACCTCAGCCCGAGAACCGCTAGACCCGGCGCGCCCGAGGTCGACTCATGAGCCCGGAATCAACCTGGTGGATATATGTTTTAGAGATTCCCCCAAAAGTTGAGGACCCCTCCCCCCCCCCCCGCAAAAAAAAAGGGGAACACCCTCCCCATTCATCAACTATACAAGATGGTGTGCAATAAACTAGAGGTTCATATCAGAGGTTCAGATATGGACTTGTTCATTCGGACTATGATGGGGTCGCGCAGCAACAAGGAATAAGCAAACATGTACACAATATTGGATCCATCTCACAACTGCCAACATAAAAAGAAAACACACAGGTCGTTTCTATGCAACTTGGGCCTCGCGCAGCTACTTCAAGCCTCACAACGTGAAGATGTGCCGAGAGACTCCTCCCAGGTTCATTGCAGCGATGGAAGCGTCAGCAGCATGGGTGTCCTGAAACACCACTCACGGAGGCATTGGTTGCACTTTTTCTCTCTCCCTCTCTCTTTGGCATCTGACAAAGCATTCATTGTCATATTGAGGTTGGTTGCGTAAAACAATGTCAAACAGGGCCCATTCAAGTGACATCAAAAACATCATCCAAAGAGTATGGGTTTGACATTTCCCTCCCAGTCTGACATCGATAGCCACAAAAAGCAGGTCAACGGGTGTTTCTCGTAAGTTTCCCTGCGTGATGTCTTCAGCTTGGAGCTTCACAAAAGAGGGAACGCTGTGGACGAACTGTTCTTTGGTAGCTTTCAGTGGTAGGGTTCCCCTACTAAAATAGATTACAGAAACAAAGGGTACCCTTATTCTAACCTCTCTACTGGAGGACCTAGCGGTGCAAGGTTTTTGCGAGTCCGCGGTATTGTGACAATGTCTCGGGATGATCAAAGAAACAAGGGTTGTTTCGGATTCAACCCGTTTCTTTTGCGGTTTGGACGGAGGTCATGGATGGCATTAGTCATTAGGCCTTTTGCACCCTGGGAACAGACTATCCAAGCTCCTACCCGGCAAACTTTGAGGAACCAGTGAAGGTCCAGAGACGTCCCTTCATAATTCTTACGGCTTGCTGGTTGGAAACCTCGGACTTGGTGTTTCCTTTGTGAGGTTTCTGTGATGGTTTCTATGGTGATGTGGTCTGGCGGTCTGGCCGTGGCCATAGGTCTTGGCCACCATCGGACTTTGGTGGTCTCTACGGTGACTAGGTCCTCCAGCGGAGAGGTTAGAATAAGGGTACCCCTTTTTTCTGCAGTCTATTTTAGTAGGGGGGCCCTCCCCCAAAAAGAAACGGGAGAGAAGGGCACCTAGCTGGGGGACCTAGCCTCTTGAGAACCTCTAAGAAGGTTCAAAAAACCCCTTCGGGTCAACAAAAATCATGGTTGGTCATTGACCCATTTTTAATTAAAGGCTCAGATCCGGAGACTCCAGGTATGGCGGCCCGGCTCCTGGACCTTTTGGAAGGACCAGCTCAAGTCTCCCGAGGGCCTCCGGGAGCCTCCGCTATGGCGCTCGATGACTCGAGGTTGAGACACGGGTTTGGACGCCACTTGGGAGCGGTTAAAGTGCCAGGAGTGACGTGGATTTGACCATCCCCTACCCCCTACTCAGAATGCAAAAAAAAAAAACGAAAATCGAAAACACCCAAAACAAAACACAAACAAAAAATAGATCTAAAACACACAGCAACAACAGTGAGGTTAAGCAGTGGCTGAAACATGTTTGCATAAGCGGTTGGCTCATAGCGAACATCTGAGGCACTCGTTCTAAACAAAATATTGGGGTGGGAATCTTAAACCACCATGTAGGATCAATTTTGAGGATGTCACTTTGATGAACCCAGAAGCGGGGACTGAGTAGGGATGGGGGCAGATTCCCTGGGCAGGTCATCCGACAGTCTGGGCTGTCAAAACCTTGGCCAGTGTGATTCTCTCCGTTGTTTAAATGACCTGGAAATAAAAGTTTTGGCGGCAATGACTCAACATGGAAAAAGGGCAACCCCAAGGTCAAAAGGTCGATTTGCTTTGGGCAACTGAGTTCCTGGTGTTCCTGTCTGAAATCGATCGGCCCCGTCTAGCTCCAAAAAAGACTGCGAAGAAGAAGGCGACGGAACATGGAAGATAATTACTTGGGGGTTCGGCCAACGTTAGTAAGTTGTTGGTCACCTTGATTGTAAGCCACTTCTAAGTCCGCGTTCAGTGGAGTTAACCTTGCTATTAACGGGCTATAATCCAGGTGGCTAACCAGTTTCTAACTTAGCCGGACATCCAAGTACATCCCTGAAACATCTGTCATTCCAGACTCCAGACACGCTGCACTCACCAAATCCTGTAACCCGAGCAATCAACATGCGTTTCTCCGCACCCGGTTCTGGTTGAGACTACCATTTACAACCCCCCTAATTATGATGGATTCCCAAAATGGCTCCGATTCTTCAAAGGAGATTCCGTTCCTAAAAACTGGTTTGGTCGTTGGGTTCCATGTTAAAGTGCTCTCATCTACCCGAATTGGTTTTGAAGGCCAAAACCTGTCAGTTAGCCAGCGAGTCAAGCCACTTGTCCGGAAGTCAGCGAGTCAAGACAATGAGACAGCTCACCAGGCGCCAGAGTCAATTCTAGATTGCTACACAAGGGCATGGCTCAGCCAGTCTACGCGCAATGCCCGAGAGCTTGTTGTCACGCGGACACACGTGACTCACAGCTTGATATAACCCCAGACCCGCAGATCTCAGATCCCGATCGCCTTCCGGCACCAGGACGGACAAGGCCGATTTCAGGGACTGCCTGGTCTTCGTCTCCAAGTAGGCCTTCGGGACCCAGAGTGCCCATTGATTTCCTTTGGTTGCAAGAAGGACGAACCAGGCACGGGACCCGTGCTTTGTTGAGGACACCTTTTTTGGGGGCTGACGCGAAACCAGAGCCAAAAGCTGTCCATTTCGCGCGTGCCCCTATCTTGACACATACACTTTTCAACAGAGATATCAGAAATTCAGGACCTTGGCACAGGCTGGAACGCCGCGTTGTCTTGGGTTTGCCTTCCGAGCTTCCAAGGAAAAGAGATGGACCCTCTTGGATGTTTACACAGGGGTGCTTTGAGGTGTGCAGACTTGGGCATGACTTTTGAGGAAAAACATCAAGGATAGTTTTCGATTCTAGGGTCAAAAGGTCAAATCAAAAACCGCTTTCAGCTAAGAACCTACTTCGGACTCGTTGTCTTGAGAGGTCCAAACCCTCAATCCCTGCTATCTTTGAGCTGGACGCACTGCGAAGTCGCAAAGTCGCAAAAAAGGCACCCCCAAAATGTTTTCCGACCAAGTTGATAGGTTCAACTGTCCGAGTCTTCCAAACCTGGTGATCAGTTCACGGCCAAATCCCTCACTCGTCCGCAACGCGGGAGGTCTTTGGATTCGGTGAGGTGATGCGATGAATCAAGTCGCAGGAAGGACAACCTGGAGTCTCCCTCTGACCCTTAAAAATGAGTCAATGACCAGATCCATGTTTCAAATGGTTGCAAAATGGAGATCTTTTAAGGAGCCCTGTCAAAGGAGCAGGCTTTGGAGGGGGGGTGGGGAGAATCATGGGACGGGATTTGACGATTCCCGTGCCTGCAGAAGCGCCACCAAACGGGTGCTTGCCGCAACAGCCTCAAGCTTCGGGTCGACTCTGGGTTCGTTCAAAGCGACACCCCCGACATGACTCCGAAGAATGATTCGTGCAGCGACTATCCACCCAGAAGTATTTTGGAGGACAGTCTCCCCCAAACACTTTCATGAGCCATCTGCACACACATTCCCAGGCTCGTGACAAACTCCAGCCGTTTCATTTGGCCAGTTTTCGGACAGTTGTTACAGTGCCAGCTTTTGGCCAGTCACAATCACAATCACTGCAACGAATTGGTGGGGTCCGCTTTGCCGAGTTTCGTCATGATTGGAGGGGTGAACACGAGAAGTTCTGATTACTTCGCCGCCACTGGTCCTGAGACGTCGCTGCTTCGGTCGGCCGCATGGATTTTTTCGCTTGACTCATGCCCGTCCTTGAAACCAAGCATTGACACTGGAGTTGGAACCCCTTTTCAAGTGAAATCATATGGAAGCCGCACTTCTTTGGGATCCCTGAATTTCGCGACACCGCCACAAACGAAGTACATAACAAGTACATAACGGAAGCTTCAGTGCCATGAGTTGTTTCAACATAACGTCCAATCAAAGCTGCGGATCCACTCGATGTCGAATCGTGTCAGAAACCACGAATCTCCACAAGCACCTCTTCCATCTGCGAAAATGGCCCCCTGATCCACAAATTGATGGGTGAAGCACTCCCAAATACCAGGGGCCTGTGGTGGGATAGGGTTGGGGTGGTTGGGGTCTAGGTTGGACCCGAGACCGAGAACCTTGTGTTTGTTCCATAGAAAGCCCCCAAAAAAAAGCACGTCCCAGCTGCATCCCAGCTGCATGCCGCAGTGCCCACAAACACTGCCATGGAGGGAAGGCCTGGCTCGATGGCCCGATGGCTCCGCCTTTGACTTTGTTTTGCTTCAGCCCCTTGCCACGAGGGTGGCAAAAGGACTTGAAGCTGACAGCTGGGGTTGAAGCATCCTTGCTTGCCTTGTTGTATGGCACTCAGGAAACATGAGGGCACGGCTACGTTCAGTTAAACAAGAGACCATACTCGTAGTGAAAGCATACGGACGCAGAGAGAACATTGAGCTAGGGGAAAAACAATCGGCGACTTCACCAACCGGTGTTTGGGCGCCTTTCTTCGGTATCAGGTTGGCTAATCAACAAAACCCAGGCAGATTGCATGCGAGCTGCTGGCATCAGGATAGGTTGGCAGCTGATGGCTCAACTAAATAAAAGACAAAAATCCCCCTCCTCTTTGGCGCTTTTTCGATGGACGATCTAGCCACCATCCCACCCGGCATCCCACCTCTCCCCCACACGGAACAAAATGGTATGGAATCTTATGGGTCGAAGGAGGTATTCCGAAGGTGAGCTCTTTCCGCCCCAGGCCATGCAGAAAGGTGAAACAAGGAATGCCCAATGGACAGTAACGGGTGACTAGATCCTCCAGTAGAGAGGTTAAAAAAGGGTACCCGATTTCTTTTTTTGTTTTCCTGTAGTCTATTTTAGTAGGGGAACCCTCCCCCAAAAAAGGGTAAAAGGGCACTACTGGGGACCTAGGTGAAGTGAACTCATTGTGATTTGCCCAGTTGGTCATGAATCTTCCTGGAGTCTCCTTCTGACCCGAAATACACATGGGTCAATGATCAACCATTTTGGGTAGTGACCAATCATGGAGACTCCAGGTTGATTGGGGAACCTCTGGTGGACATCACTGGTTAGGATTTATGACCACTCGGATGTTCTCCATTTCATCGTTTCCCAGACCTGTGGCCATAGCGACAAAGGACACCTCACCTCTTACTTTTTGGTGCTTGATTTCAAGGGATTTCGGACATCCCGTCAAAACATGAGAGAACAGGCAGGTGTGTCCTTTTGCAGGGGACTCTGCTAACATGTACTCATGGTGTCCCGTTTCAAAACAAAAAAGAAACGAAAGGGGTACCCACTCCGAAAAAGACGGATCAAGGAAGCAGCCCACAAGGTCTGCATTTTTTGAGGGCCTCCAAAATATGGTTTTCCTGTTGTACCCCCCCCTTCCCCCAAACAAAAAATCAATAAAGAAGTCGGTACCCCCAAAGAAACAGAAAGACAGGTCTGAGCCAACTTGGCTGGTGCTCAGTAGGGAATGACCTTCCGAGTTTTGGGAATGAACCGTTTGAGGATTCCTAAAAGAACACCAAATCGGATGGATGGTTTTTCTTGGGTGTCATTCCATTTCTCCTGCCTATCGAACCAGCAAGTCAACTCTCCAAAATGACGAGTTTCCCGGGCCTTTGCTGCTCTTTTACATATCCCCCCCCCTCGCGCCTCCAAAAAACAAAAACAACAACATCGCACCAAAAATTGAAACCAGCCGTCGTTTTTTTTTCTTTTTTTTCTTGGGGGTCATGCCATTTATCCTTCCCTTTAAACCCCCCCCCCAAAAAAAAAAACAAAAATGGTCTGGGTCCACCGATTCGATCAAAACAACGATCCGACCCCGCCTGGCTGAAGACCAGGTCCAGCGCCGCGGCCAGGTGGGGCAACAGCAGGGCCGTGCTCAGCGCACAAACCGCCTGGAAAACCGAAACAAGGTCCTCCAGATTTGAGAGGTTAAAATAAGGGCACCCGACTTTTTTTTCTGTTTGTCTATTTTAGTAGGGGAACACTCCCCCAAAAAAGAAACGGTAAAAGGGCACCTGGCTGGGGGACCTAGAAAAACAACCACCACACGTTAAAGAACCTAGAGTCTCCGGATCTGACCCGAAGAAAAAATGGTTGGTCAATGATCCCAAAAGAATGGGCCGGGTCATTGACCCATTTTTAAAGGATCATGGAGACTCCAGGTACCCATTTTTGGGTTCAGTCTCCCATGGTTGGTCATTGACCCATGTTTATTTAAAGGGTCAGATCCGGAGACTCCAGGAACTTCTTTACTGGGCCGTTTTCTCAGCTTCCCGCCAAAACATGGGTGGTTTGGCCATTGGTCTGCAATTTCTTTGAGAACATCCCCTTCGTTTCATCCAGCTCCCTCCGAAAAGGCTCTCGTTTGGAGCCCGGTGCGCTTTCTTTAAAACTGGGCTCCCGTTTTCTGGGCACCCATTTGGTTGCTGCCTTTTGACTGGGCACCCATTTTGTTGAGAACTGGGCCCGCGGTTTATCAGTGTCCAACTCCAAGCCGAGTGGCCGAGTGGTTTGGAAACTGAAGGTGTGCTTTTCGTTGGACCGGGCTCCCGTTTGATCAGGTTTGAATAGAGCTGCCTACGAGTTTCCCTCTCCCTTACCAGTTTCCAACTCCAAAAAGGCTGGTTTGGAGCCCGGTGGTTTGGTGGTTGGGGGGCTCCCCAGTTACCTCCAAACGGGTGGTTTTGGAAAATGGTGGTTTGTTCCTGTGTTAAATAGGGCTGGTGGTTTGGTGGTTGGGTGGTTTCCCATGTACCTCCAAAAGGTTGGCTTGGAAATTGGTGGTTTGGTGGTTGGGTGGTTTACCCCATTTATCCTCTACAAGAACCAGGGGTTCAAAGCCCCAGTCCCACCAATCCACCAATTTAGGGTTCCCCGCCCCTATGCTTCGCCAACAAAACACATCGGGGATCAGAAGCTCTCGACATCAGAAAAGAAGCTCACCTATTGGTTCGAACAAATGATGTTCCCACTTGAAGGGGAAATACCGAGAGTCTCCATGATCCTTATTTTGGGTCATGACCCCCATTTTTAAAGGATCGTGGAGACTCCAGGTATAATAGGGAACTTTGGTGGTTGATTGGAATTCGGATAAAACCAAGATTCAAAAATAACGAAGACCAAGTTTCTATCCAAAGGTGCTGGAGCGACTGGGGTGCTCTCAGGGACATGCGCATGATCCAGTTGCTGGGGAAGCTCAGGACACACTGCCTGCTGCACGCACATCAATGTCCGCTCCGTGTTTTCCTCTCTTTGCATTCTCGCAATTGCTTCGTGCAAACGGCTCCAGCGCGCGCATTTACGCTAACGCTCAGAGAGCAGGACCTGATAGGACCTGTCTTGGCTCAGGAAGGGCGGGGTGGGAAGGTGGGGAACTGCGTCTCCGTCTGCGGCTTGCTCCACGTTGGCAAGGACTCGCAGTTGATGTCCATCTTGGGCGGGAAGGCCTCCAGAAGTCCCGCCACCAGCGCGGCTTCTAGGCCCCAGGCCCCCAGAGAGTCCACCTTGTTGCCGATGCGCGTGCCACACTCCCCGCACCAGTGGTGGTTCGGCAGGCCCTCGGCCTTGCGCTGGCTCAAGATGGAGCCCTCGCCCTTGGTGATCTTCACCTGAGGCTGCGGCACCATGGCCACGGTGCGGAAGGCACAGCCACTCCAGGCGCGGCAGCCCTTGCAATGGCAGTGGGCCGTGAACATGGGAGGCCCCTCCACCACCAGCTCCACCGCCTCGCAGTAGCACTTGTAGACAAACGGGGTCGACATGTTTGCAGACGCGGCTCTTGGCTTGGAAGGTTCGGAACTCGCGGCTCGAAGGGAAAGCGGCAGGGTTTTGTTTCGTTGAAGATATCCCAGTGCTTCCAGCTGCCACTAGAGTAGGCAACCCGGTATGGCTACCTCTAGGTTTTACATCATGGTTTCCCTGGTGACCTTCCATAGTGGAAACTGGAAGCACTGGGAAATTGGAAGCACTGGATATGATACGGTGCGCTCCAGAAGTGATGAAACCCAACTAAGCAGACATCTTATGAGCGGCCTTGGCAAATCGCCGATAAATGGTAACACCTTAATTTGGAACCTGGACATGTTGGTCAACCTGTCCAGAGAGCAATCAATTACCCTCCCTCCCACTAACATGGCAACTGACAGGGGGTCCCTTCAGAAGGAAATGAATCTTCCAGGCACCTCCCCACAGGTGCCATGTTAGTTGGAGGAAGGGTACCACTTGTGTCGCGCCTCCATGAAAAAAGATTGCGGGTTCCCAAAGAATTGGGTCGTGTGATTTTTCGAGGGTCCCGTGTGCTTCTCGCACCGAGTTCCCTATATGATTGAATTTTAGCATCACCCCACATCAAGAACAGTAACACTCAAAATGGGCCCATGTGATGGTTTGAAACCGCAAGTGCCAAAGGCAACATAGGGACCTAAGTGGCCATAGAAAAATGGGGGGGACCTGTTTTAGGGGAATCCCCCTCCAAACAAAGAGAAAAACAGGGGCACCACTGGGTGTTAGGGTACACTGCACACATGTGATTTACTCCTGAATCACCTGAATCAGGACTCAACCTGGCTTAAAGTACCCCGCAACCCCAGTGTCTATGTTTTTGGCCCTGATCGTCACTTCCGAAGTGAAAGAGCAAACAAGTCCAAACCTATTGTTTGCCACAATCACCAGAACGGTCCAAACCCAAAACGTATACCTGGAGTCTCCATGACCCTTTAAAGATGGCTCAATGACCAACCATTATCTTGGGTCATGACCAACCATTTTTTAAGGCTCCTTAGGGAGACTCCAGGTATTTGAAGTCCAACGGAAGTCTGAACCACCCGCCTCGTACTCGCTCCTCAGCGACGGGTCATGGTCCGACGCCTGGTACTTGCCGAAGCTTCGGACGCAAGTCCGCGGAAATTCCCAAACTTCTGCATGGAACATCCGGTTTTTTCCTGTTTGACCCAAGGGTTGCAGGATTTGCCATATGGCCATGGGCATGGAACATCCGTTGTTGTCCTGTTTGACCCAAGCTGTTCAGGATTTGCCATGTGGCCATGAAACATAACCTATGGCTCCATTTTGGGGTGGATGAACATCCATTTGCCACCTATTTTGATGTTCACCAGGGGTACAGGGTTTTGACCCACAGCCATGTGTGTTTTACTACCTCTGCAGAGAAGGAAACTTCAAGAGCATTGTGGGTAGGGAAGGTCTACTCTCCTGGAGTTTTGCGGAGGTGCGAATTCTCTGGGGATACCTTTGAATCCATGGGAATCTCAACGGTCATTCTCAGATACAGCTGAAGGGGGAGAGGGCAAAGAATTGGGCAATCCAAAAAGGAAACACTAAACCCGAGCCAAGCAAGCGAGGTAATATGTTGATTCAAACCATGTCCCATTCAAGAAGGCATCCTTCATGATGTTCAGGGGGATGCCCCATGTTCTTCTGGCAAGGAAAGGCGAGGCAACACAAACCAATCAATACCCCGCACAAACAACCACGAGTTTGACAGCCTGTCAAAGAAAACACAAAACAAACGAAGCCCGGAACCCCGAAATCAATGATCATGCGCAGATGTGTCAACCTCCCCGAAAAACGAACATAATATCCCTCTCCAAAAACACAAACAAGAAAAGATACCAAGGGTTAGCAAAAGAACTGAACCTTTCTGCGTTCATCACGAGCGTCCTCAATGCAGCTGTCCCTGATTCCGAGATTCGGATTTGTTTGCAGAATAAGAGGTTTGCTTTCCTTTGATTCAATCCAGAACCCAAAGGCTCAAATCTCATCGCCAAACCTCCCAAGGTGACTTTAAAACGTCACAGCACACCCAAGCTGGTCAAGCTAAACACAAATTTAGAGAAAAGAGCCTGATATGTACCATGCATCACCGATTCACCTCCACAAGCCCACCTGCAAATTTGTGTTTGTTTCATGAAACCCAGTGTCCTTAGTTGATATTGTTTGATTGAAGAAAGCACGTATAAACATCCAGTAGGTGTAGTCTGTGGTCTGTGTGTTGTTAAAAGAGATCTAGCATTTTCAATAACACCGTCATGCTTGGAAAAGCAACCAAGCGGGGACTGGTTGGAAGAACACGCTTGGGGAAGAGTCCCCTTTCGGTGTTGGGACGATCCCAACAACAAGCAAACCGACAGGCAAACAAACAGGCAAACAAACAAACAAACAAACAAACAAACAAACAAACAGACAGATACACAGGCAGGCAAACCAACAAACACGCAAACAAGCAGACAAATAGACGAACAAATAATAGACAAACGGACGGACAGAAGACAGATGGACGGACAAATGGACGGACAAACAAACAAACAAACAAACAAACACCCAAACAAACACACATCAAGGGCATGTCATGTACAGTATCCCTGAGGTATACTAGGATTCAACCCTCACTCCCTTCGACAACATGCTGACTCATTTTAAGCTGGGAGTAGCACACCTGGCAGATTGCCAAAAGGTTTGCGTGTGTGCGTCCTCCAATAGTGAAGCATTCCCCCGAAAGGGACAACCCCCCTAGCATCCAACTAGGATTTCATTTAGTCGGGGTTTATGCTTCCTTTTGGTTTCCCTTTCTGTTCCCAAAAAAGGACAGACCTGGTCTGAAGCCTTCAGGACACAATCTTGCAGCCAGCGCGCAAATTGGAATGCCTCCGCTTCCATACGGTCCTGCAATTCATGTCCGCCCATCACTTTTCAGGTGGTTCCAACTCTGAAACTTCCTAGCCAAATGACGGCGCCAACGGTTTTCCGGGTCGCCTGAAAGTTGACATGACGAAAGCGACTCACCTGCATAATCTTAGATTGATGGACAGCATTTACATGGTGGATGTCTACTGGTAGCTGTCCCAATCTATCATCTGAGGGTACCTTCCCCATTCTTTCCAGGGATCAGCCGGCTATTGAAAAGAATGAACAAATCAAACCCTAGAAGACTCTTGGGGAGGTCCTCTGACTCCAGGCCGGACTGAAACAAACCCAGAACTGTTCCTTTAAACATGCTTGCAATATAGCGAGCAAGGGCTATGTTCTTAGAGCTTGGGGCCATTCGGCCACGAGTACACCCGTCTGCAACGAGTTTCAGACTTTTGCACAAATGGGTGCAGTTACATCTAAAACAAAGGGGTTAATATAGCCAACGGACCCGGGTGTTGGATGCCTAAAAACAGACACAACATGAAGCCGTGTGGAGGGGGGCCTTCTATAGCGGCGCTGTGTGGTATTTCGGGTCAACGGGGAGCCTGCGCCATGTCTGCCTGGTGCATCTTGGTTCCCCCCCGCGCCGAGCTTCTTGCCCCTTCTCAAAGCCACTAAGTCTACTTCAGCTTTTGCCCACGAAACATTACATGTTAATCAAGATGTTGGCAAAGTCCAGGATTTCGAATGCAAAATGGATCATTCTACACATGGAACCGTAAAATCCAAACTAACAGGAAAACCACCACTTGGGGGGGTCCAAATCCCTATACACACATATGCATATATAAATATATATCTACATATATATATATATATATATGTATGTATATTTATATGCAGAATTTGGGGAACCGCCAAATCTCAACAATGTCGAACATTTGGATCTTCAATCAACTTAGTAGGCTGTACAAGTAATTAGCTTGAACCCCTAAACATCACCCCCCCAACAACAAAAAACAACAACAAATGGAAAAAGAAAGCAACCCACTGGATGCCTGGTTGAACCAGGGGATCCCCTTCAAAAATGATTTACCGGTGGAACCATCACCACTGTTGGAACGATCACCCCTCCCCCCCAAAGCAACAACTTATAAGGGAACTCCCCCCCTCCCCCACCCCCCACCCCAACAAAAAACAGCAACAACACAAAACAAAACACAACAAAACACCCCCCACCCCAAAACAAAACATAAAGAACAACAACAAACAACAAACAAACAAAACAACAAGACGCGGTTGAAGCCCAGCCTCGATCGCCTCGAGCACCGCCACCTGCAGGTCCCAGGCCCAGCGTCTTGGCTCCGAGAGCTGCGGTCGTGCCAGCCTCAGCGTCGCGGAAGGAGGAAGGGGTGGGTTCTTGCTGCTGCTTTCTTTGTTTTGTTTTCTTTATCTTATTTGTGTGTTTGTTTCGTTTTGTTCTTGTGTTGTTGTGTTGGTTTCGTTTTGTTTTGCTTCTTTCGTGTTGGTGTTGTTTTTGTGTGTTGGTTGTGTTTTTTGGGGGGTGTTGTTTTTCGTTTGGGTTTGCTTTGTTTGCTTCGTGTGTTGTGTTGTGTTGTTTTTGCGTTTAAACAACAAATGGGTGTTTGTCTTTTTTTGGGTGAGTTTGTTTTCTTACTGGTGGGGCAGCTTTCAGGGAGTTGTCAAAAGGAGGGTTCCAGGGGGTTCCGGGGCTGCCTTGGTTCGTTGTTTTAGTTTAGTGTTTGTTGTTTTGTGTTTGGTTTTGTTTGTTGTTTGGTCTGTTTTCTTGTTTTTTTTGGTTTGGTCTGATTTTGTTTCCGGTCCACTGCTTGCTGGTACAGTAACCACAAACACATGTTGGTATGTATGAAAATAGGGGAACCCCCAAAATAGTGGCTCTATTTTTGGTTTCCGATTCAAGTAACCCCAAACAGGCCACCAACTCAAAAACAAACGCACGCACACGCACACACACATGAGCGATGAGGCGCGTTACCCTTTGAAGGTTGGTTTAAAGGGAAACTCAAAGGAGAACCACCATTTGTTGGGTACCCTAGGTTGACACATTCTGACGCAAGCAACGTAATCAACATCACAAAGGTTGCAAATAAACAAAAAAAGCAAGCAAGCAAGCAAGCAAGCAAGCAAGCAAGCAAGCAAGCAAGCAAGCAAGCAAGCAAGCAAGCAAGCAAGCAAGCAAGCAAGCAAGCAAGCAAGCAAGCAAGAAAGTTGGGCAAGCAAGCAAGCCAGCAAGCCAGCAACCAGCAAGCCAGCAAGCCAGCAAGCCAGCAAGCCAGCAAGCCAGCAAGCCAGCAAGCAAGCAAGCAAGCAGCAGGCAAGCAAGCAAGCAGGCAGGCAGGCAAGCGAGCAAACCAAACAAACAAACAAATAAACAAACAAACAAACAAACAAGACAAGACAAAACACACAACAATACAAAGAAACAAACAAGCAACACAACAAACAAAACAGCCAAACAAACAAACAAACAAGCAAAAAACAAACGAACAAACAAAAACAAACAAACAAACAAACAAACAAAACAAACAAAACAAAGAAAACCGTCAAACAAAAGAACAAACAAACAAACAAACAAACAAACCAACAAACCAACAAACCAACAAACCAAACAAAACAAACAAAAGAACAAGCAAACAAACAAACAAACAAACAAACAAACAAACAAACAAACAACATAACAAACAAACAAACAAACAAACAAACAAACAAACAAACAAACAAACAAACAAACAAACAAACACACAAACAAACAAAACAAAGAAAACCGTCAAACAAAAGAACAAACAAACAAACAAACAAACAAACAAACAAAGAAACAATCAAACAAACAAACAAGCAAGCAAGCAAACAAACAAACAAACAAACCAAACCAACCAACCAACCAACCAACCAACCAAGCAAGCAAACAAACAAACAAACACACCCCCAAAAACAAAAACAACTTGACCATGGTATGGGATGCGATCCGAGGCGCGCTGCGATGGCGCGGACCCTGTGCTCCGTGGGCCTCCCCCGCGCTGCGACGAGGTCCTCCAGCAGCTCCGCAGTGGGGCCTGCGACGCGTCGAAGCGGCGAAGCGGACGCGGCGCGTCTGGGCGAAGGATTTTCCGTCGAGGGGGTTTGGCTTTCGAGAAAAAGAAAGGGGGTAGGGGGGGAGGGGGAGGTGTTTGGGAGGGAGGGGTTTGGGAAGGTTTTGGGGTTTTGGGGGGGTGTTCTTCTAGAATATGGTTTGGATGCGGTTTTGGGTGGATGCCCTGTAGGAGAGCAAAAGAGCAAACAAAGAGTGTTGAAAGAGGAACAACTAGTAAAACAACATGGGGAAATTACAGAAAGCGCATCCAATCCGTTTGCCGGAGGTTTGTTTACTGGGATGTCCCCTTCAAATCTCACCCCAAAGAAACCTCATGTCAAACTGGCCCAACACCTGGTGTATAGACAAAACACGGCAATACGGATGTCTTTCTTTTGGGGTAAACCGCTTGTGGGTTTTAAAGGGAACCCAGAAGGAAAGCCATATTTCTTCGGGCTCCCGAAAAGAAAGAAAAAAAAAAAACAAAGACCGTCTCGAGTTTTTTCGTGTTTTTCACTGGGCTCTCCTCGGATGCCCTGAGGTTTGACTTTTAGCGGGCTAAATAGAACCCGGCGCACTAAAAACCTAAAAGCCGGGAATGGCTGGGAACCACCAAGTTGAAGGCCGTGTTAGGCAGACCCTGACCCTGACCCCCCCTTTTTCGAAAACACAAATCAACATTTCACCTGACCCTGGCATCCATTTGAGCCCTTTTGAGGCCGTTTAAAAAACGTGGGGCAGAGTTCGTTCCGAGTCGTTTGGCCTTTGTTAGACTTGGACTCGTCTCTTCGTTAAAAATAACGAATCATCCCTGAATTGCACCATTTTGGAGGGGGCTCTGCCAAGAAAGGCTCGGAGCACTTGCCAAAGCACCGAATTGGGACCATGAAAGCTCAACATCTGAATTATTGGCTTTGACAATGGAATCGCTCAACAAAACCAACAAGCTCGGTGTTTCGTTGGGGAAGGGGGGATTCAATTTACAACGGCAACTCACAACATGCTATAGGCCCACAAATGGAATTGAAGCTCCGATCCAAAGACCCCGGCACCAAGCACGGCATGTGAGCGTCCCGATTGGTATTTTCAAGCCAAGGAAACTCAATCAATAGATAAGCCACAGGCAATAGCTGGCAACGGGGGGTCCAAAAAGAAAGCAAAGCAGTCTGCCCGAAATGTACATCAAAAAGGCCGAGTGCCGCAGGCACCTCTTTGTTGATTCATTGCTGAAGGACAGCCGGAGCCGATTTCTTGCCCAGCCGACATAGATTCCCTGGCATTTACCTGGCTTCTCACCGGCCGGGAAAGTTCTAGCCAGCTGGTTCCATGGCTTCATGAGTGTTCGCTTTGGGTGCCTGGAACCAAACTAAAACACCTGCTCATCCTCTTGTCCCCTTTTGCACAATATGGCTACCTGGAGTCTCCATGACCCTCAAAAAATGGTTGGTCGTTACCCAACAAATACTGGTTGGTCATTGAGTCATGGATACCCCAAATTATGCATTCAACTCAGTGACCCTTTGGTGGACATCTGAGTTCGGTGGGGATTCATGTCCACCACTCACTTTCAAGGTGGTTCCAACTCCTAAAACTCATGGCCCTCTGGCCCTCTGCCAGAGTCCGACGCAGGTCCGTGGCTTGGGCACCGCGGAAGACCCGACTAGATGAACATTCAGGGTGCTTGTTTCCTAAGCCCCCCAACAAAAATGACCCTCCAAATCAAAAACTCCTTCCTGGAGTCTCCGGATCTGACCCGAAATAAACATGGGTCAATGACCCGGCCCATTTTTTGGGGTAACGACCGCCCATTTTGTAAGGGTCCTCAGGGAGACTCCAGGTGTAGGCACCTCCCCCCGCCTTCTGACCCTCCCGATCGCCTGCGTCCGGCACCAAGGAGCCCGGAAAGAGCCCCAGCAGTGCCGTGCTCATGGCCTGAGCCTGGCGCTTTATGACCCGCCTGGGACCCTCCAGGGGGACATTTGGCTGTGGATCAAGAATAGGTACCCAAAATACTGAAAAACGAAATCCTGCACCACCCAAGAAACCGGGAAAGATGATTCCCCTGTAAATACCAACATACAATGGTTTCCTCTAGTTTCAATTTGGTGCCGGATTTTGTCCATCCACTGTAGCACCCTGGTAAATGGTAAAAATGACTAAAACCTGTGGTCCTTTGGTGGTTTAATTTTGTTACCCATTTCGGCCCAAACGAACAAACCGAAAACGGGGGTTCATGGCAAAGATCCGTTTGGAAAGGAAGCCAAAAAGGAGGAAATCTGGGCGTTTCCAAGCGGTGGTTCAAGGTGGCTTTGCTTTTCGTGTCGCCTTAAACTTGCAAAAACGACCGAAAAACGGGTGTCAACGAGGACAACTGACAAGCCCCTGGACCAAGAAGAAAGCTCAAAAGCTCAATTCGCTTTGGGCAAGTGACAGGGGTCACCGGATTCCGCATATCAAAACTTGATCAGCTTGCTGGTGGTTTCCATTGAAACAATCGTCGCTTTTGGAGGTTCCGAAACGGGTAGTTGGAGAAAGCTCTGAGTGAGCTTAGTCTCATTTCCTGAGTGCATTGGCCAGAAAAGTACCCACACTTTTTGTCCACCTGGAGTCCCTAAAAAATGGTTGGTCACTACCCAAAATAATGGGCCGGGTTATTGACCCATTTTTATTTCGGGTCAGATCCGGAGACTCCAGGTAGGCAGTAAATTATTCCAAGCCCCAAAAGTGACTAAAGTCCAAAACGCAACTCGGAGAGTGAGTTAGGTTCCCGTTGGTTTCCCTTAAGCCGACCTAAGAAAAGAAATACCTGGAGTCTCCCTAAGGACCCAGAAAAAATGGTTGGTCATTACCCAAAATAATGGGGTCATTGACCATTTTTAAAGGGTCATGGAGACTCCAGGTACCCTCAAAACCCGACCTTTCCTCGAATTGGTGGTTTGGATTGGTGGTTTGATGGTTAGGGGACGGTTTCCCATTTATCAAGAACCAGGAAGTGCTTCAAATCCCAAAACCACCAATCCGAACTACCAACCTGACAGGTTGCCTGAACTACCGAAGGGTGCTTCGCTGGGTCATTCCCTGCCTATCGCACCAGCAAGTCATTTGGCGATTGGTGGTTTGGATTCAAGCAAGAGGGTAGATGGGAAACCACTCCCGGAACACCAAACCGCTTTGATTGATCGGGGAACCATTTGTCGCCCACCTAATAAAAGACGTCGCGTTGAAAACGACACACCCAAAAGCCAAACCCACTTCAACCCCACATTCAACCATACGTTTCCCTCTAATCGGTGCTTTGGATTGGTGGTTTGATGGTTAGGGGACGGCTTCCCAAATTTATCCTCCACAACAGCTTCAAATTCCAAACCAATTCTCGACACTAACGTTTGAGACACGAGCAGACATGGCCCGACCAAAGCTGAAGTGCTTGGTGGCTTTTTGCTAATGTTTGATCTTAGCTCACGTTTGGCCCTGCAAGGATTGGCCTACTTGGCGCTGGTGGATGGCTCGGGGCACCCAAACGTCCCCCGAAACCGAAACCCCCGCCTCCAGCTGGCCCTCGCGCGCGTGCACCCGGGAGCCGAGCACCGCGGCGCCAGGCCAAGGCCCAGCGGAGCGCAGCTGCGCCACGCACCTCAAGACTTGGTTTTGGACACTTTCATAGGTGTCCTTTTTGGGAAAATAGATGGCCCTGGTAGTTGATTGAACCCCCAGGTGAACCAGGGCCCTCTATTTTTCGCCCAAATCAACCAAACAGGACACCTATGGACACTTTGGTTTAACTGGGCCACATTGGTGGTGAGGTTAGGATTATTGGTTTCCTAATAAAGCGCCCCAAACCGGCAGGAAGAAAACTGACAACTCCGAGTCGTTTTTTTCAGGTTCCAGACTCCCAACTCGATTTCGGCCCTGCCGATGCCGATTTCGGCTTGGCGATTTTGAGCCAAGGAGCGCTTGAGGAGGGCCCTTGGAAGATTCTGGCCGTTGCCTGGCAGTCCAAGTGAAAGAGGCGACATCTTTCACATGTGGTTGTGGCTCAAAAAATGCACCAAAATGGCACCTTGGTAAATGGAACCAAAGACTACAACCTGCGTAACCCCGGCTGTTTAATTTTGAGCCACACTCATGTTCTTCTCCTAGAATCATGGCTCTGGTTATACCCAACTCGACCTCATTCCAATGAGTTTGGCCCTAAAATACCTGCCAAGCGGACACCCAAAAGAAACCGCAGGTTCAAGAGGGGCTGATTGAAGAACTTGACTCATTGGCCCCAGAAGGTAGATCCTTGGAAGGTTGTTGGACCCAACAACTGGTTGACCATGCCTCATATGGGCGGCTCGTCTTTTCTTGAGCGTAGCCATGGGTAGCCCTTTTGGGTCTGTTAAAAAAGAAGAAGAGAACACCAAGAGGAAAACCACCGTTTTCGTGGGCCCCCCGTAACAGACTCACCCATATTAGTTCGTGCTTGATGCTTTAGGGCTGCCTTTTTGGGCTTCAGTCCTGAGCCTTGCGCAGGGTTTTGCTTGCACGGCACCTACCCAAGCAGCCTGCCTGAAGTTTCTGAGATGTCTTGCCATTCGCAGGGTTGAACTCCTCAAATACACAAATTCAGGGTGTCCAAAAGAAGCCCTGGCTGTCAAAATCCATTGAACGGGGACAATGCTGCCGAACGGAAATACCCCAAATGGAACCGTTCTTTGCAACTCTAACACAGAGCTTCGGCAGCCTGGAATCCATTGAACCAGCCTCAGAATGCGATTCTTTGCATTCGATGTTCCGTGCTCCCAGGACAATTTAGTGTCCCATTGCAATCTGATGTCACT